GAAATAACAGTACAATAAATAATGAACCTTTAACCTTTTTTACTTGTGTTTGTGCTGCAATTCCTTGACACATCATGAAAAAGAAACAGGATCACTAGCCCCAAAACTGAAAATAAAAGAACAGAGTCTGTTTTTTTGGTGGTAAACAGCAATTATTTATTGAAATGAAATTAAAAAGAATAAGTACCAGATCTATTGCAGTATTGTAACTTTTTGTTTCTGTAAGGGGGGGATTACTCTACTGTTTTTCTCCTGTAGGATGTAGTGAACACAAATATACAAGGAACATTCAGCTATCACAGATTGCACACCAGATACTGTAGTAATGCAGTCTAATACAAGACCACCAAAATAATCCAGGATTTCTCTTTTTTTTTCCTTCTTTGTCTCTCATTAGTCCTTAATAGTTTCCATAAAGAGTACAAAAGTCCACCCAGAGTTGGGGACACGATCTCTGGCTCTGTACACAAACCTGTCTGTTGGGACAACTCATCAGACAATGCCTCCAAAAAATAAAAAATAAAAAAAAACCACACAAAAAAAGAATAAAACCAACCAAAAAATAAACAATATAATGCCGAGAACATGTACAATGCACTGACACAGAAAGTCAGCTGTGTTAATAGACATGCAACAAGTAACAAAACTTGCTGAAATCGCAATAATCATTAAAAAAATCTAAAACCAGTTATAATTGCATAAATACTTTGTACAGTTCATTTATCCGCTGTGAAATGCACCTCTCTGTTAAAACGACAACGTAAAACTGCATTCAATAAAAACCTGGGATTCCGCTTTTCTCTTTTTGTACACGTGAAGGTGCAAAGGAACTCTTGATTGATAGAAGCCGGCTCGGCCTTTTCAGCTAGGTGGCATGATTGCACGCTAAATTACAGTACATAAATGCAGAATGATATAAGAAGGACAATAACAAGAGTGCATATTATTATTATTATAACATCAGGGAGCTGTGGGGGTGAATATTAAAGTTTTTTCTTTGTTTTTGTTTGTTTTTACATGTTTGAGACTCTGTGAAAACTAGTGTGAAACCAAAAGAAAAAGGTTCTCTCTGGGAAAGAAAGAAAGCAGCACTTGAATGCACAGTTGTTGCCCACAGAACCACAAACAAAACATGATCATATGAATGAAGAGAGATGAGTGGGGGTGACATATGAAAGAAAACAACATGTACATAAAAACAAAAACACTCTCTTCCTGGCCAACTATGAAATCCAGCAGCTGCAGCCATCCTCCAAGTAACATAAATGAGTGTTGAGTTGAGAAATAATTAACCATGTCCATGACAAACTGTTGTGTAAGATACGTTAAACAACGGAAAAACATATAAAACCTCTCTAATATTAACACGACAGCCTTGTATGGGGTTCAATCTGTGCCAAAAAATCTTTGCTGTGTACTGTTTTTAGGTCTTCCTGCATTTACTGCTCAGTTTACATTACTTCGGTGACTCCTTGTGGTAGCATCAGATACTACAAAACAACAATATCCCTACAACATGAGGGAGAATGACCAGAAAAACAGAAGCCAACCAGAGGGAAACATTGACAAATGTACAAAATCATATTTCTGGCACAAACTAAACCTCATAGATTTACCCACAGCTAATTCCTTGATATATCTGACCTATTTGTGACCTGAATTTGAATTTCATCTTACCAAAACTTTCTATTAACTAAATACATCTTCAGCCAACAAAGTAGGATAACTAAACAAATAAAAAATCCACGCTGAGTTGAAATGATTTTAGTATTGGATGTATTCAGTCGGTTCCAGGGCATCAAAACCAACTAGATTGGTTTGATTAGGATATTACACATGTAAAAAGGGGAAAACAGGGTACACCATTATGAAATATGAAACTATGATGTGGATCTCATGCTACAGTGCTCACTCAGAATCTATGGATATTTTCCCTGCATTTGTACCGAAATGAACGGGAAAAAGCGTCAAACAGCAGGTCTGTCCAACTGTCTAAATTTGACTCTTTAGACAAAAAAAAAAAACAACAACCCAGAGATATCTTTAAAATCTGAGCTGGGATGCTGCCCCATTTAAGAGAATTTCATGATTATTTACATCTTCTCCAATGTCTAACAATTTCTTTCTATACTGAACAGGCTCTTTAAAAAAAGGTGCTGCTGCTCCTGCAGTTTAACATCTTCTGTAAGGACTGAGGATAAAGTGTGTGGAGTGCAATATTTACTGAACTGCTGTAATAATGCCACAGGGTCAGACTGAAGGTCTGCAAACAACAAATCTGAATAGAAACCAACAAGAAAATAACAACGATACATAATGAGAATCCCTTTTTTGTGTGCATTCAAAGAGCCGCTTTGACGCTGTACAGTAACTAAATAAATCTGCATTAAAAAAAGACGTGACGGGAGATAAGTGTGTAGCAATATTACATGTGCGTTATTTCTTTTTACCGAATTTGTATTTTTTCACAGATGATGAACATGTTTTCTCTCTAGATAAAACACATAAAAACTCAAAATAAGTGGTGATATGGTTTCAAAGGAAAATAAAAATATGAAATGATAATGTCTCCAGTCATCAGACAGCAGCAACAACAACAAAAAACCCCAAATGGGAATTTATATAAAGGACAGAATAGATGATAGGTTTTTAAAAAAATCATCATAATTGATCAGAACAATTTGGCAAAAAAAAGAGAGGAAAAGACAATGATAATAAATCTCTCTCTGATGGTGATGGCTTGACACTGTGGGCAACACTTACAAAAGAAATCACATTTTTGTAAACAACAAAAACAAAAAATGATCAGGAAAATTAAAAAGAAAATACATAATTTGCATAACTAGACCCACTAGTAAAGTCAACCCACAGACATTAATTATTGACATTCATATCCCTTCCTCCCCTCCGTGTTTTTCCTCTGGACTCGCTGTGAATCGTGACGCAGACTACACACAATCGATTTTGTTTTTTTCTAAAGCCAGGAGTGGTTAGTCACAACGCTATGTTACAGGCATTTGTTTTTTTGTTTTTTCTCATTGACCTTATTTTTTGTTCTGTGTTTGTTCCTCTTAGAGTTAAAAAGGCCATGGTAAGTATTTACAATATGAACAAGTTTTTTACGTCTTGCGATGGCGGGTCATTGATTCAAGCGTGCCGCATCAAGGGTGTTTCTGCATTTTTTTCCCCTCTCGGTGTCGAGTGCAGGTGGTTAAAGTGGTGATTGTTTTTTTTTTTTCTTTTCCTTTTGATCTTTTATCCTCGTTTCCCCCCCTCCTTTGCTAAGCTTTACCGCCATGGTGATGAAACAGCTGACATTCCCTCTTGTTACAGTTATGTCAGTGTGTGTTACAGTACATGTGGTTACTGGACGTACGAGAGGATAAATGGGCTTTCAAGGGATATGTTGGAGGTGTTGAGGGAACAACAAGGCAGATGGAGGAATGAAGTGCTCCTCAGGTCGGAGTCCTCAGGAGGAGGGGTTTCTTTTGTTGGCAGGTGAGGCTCAGTTTCTGCTGCCGTCCTCGACACTTCGCTCATGTTGAAGATTATAGTAACAGTTCTGACAAACCCGCACAGGTGACGAGATCTTCAGCCTTTTGATCTCTGATTGGAAGCGACTGCACCTGGAAAACAAGGTGAGCATTTTTAAACAAATCTAAAAAGGAAATTACACTCATTAACCCATAATGATGGAAAAAACATCCTTTTTTTATTTTTTCATAATATAAAATATATTTATTTTATTATCTTATTTACATAACATAATACCATAAAAGCCAGTTTGTGTCAACTTGTATAGAATATAATGCTGAAATATCATTTATGAATCTTAATTATATGACCAAATGGTTAAAAATATGTACAGACAAAATAACAGAGGACCCAGGTTTGAGCCTTGGGGAACACCAGTTAAAAAGGTGGTGAAACAAACGGGTGAAACTTAACATGTTAATTAAAAATTGTCTGAGTAACAGACCCTTTAAGAGCCACGTCTGACTTTAATTCCCATTAAACTTCCAAGACATGTTTTTAAGGTTTCTTGAGAAACCTGTATTTACTGCATAAAATATGAATCTCCAGGAACTGGAGATATTACATAATAATAATATAATAATATAAACACATTATGTGCAAAATGCACATTGTTTTAGTGTTTCAATACGTAGATATGTGTTGTAGAAAACTAATGTAACTGAAAGGGCACTGCTGCTGTAATTTACTTACTTTTGGCAGAAGAGCTGCCCGCAGTTCCTGCAGTGGTGGCGTCGCTCGGTGAGGGAGAAGCGAACTGTGCAGCCGGAGCAGCTGTCAACCACCTCGTCCTTCACCCAATGGTCGGCTGCTGAACGTCCTGGCTGGTCGCTGACTGACCAGCTGAAGACTCGACCACGACCGTCACCCACCAAGATCTTACTGTGGTCTCTGAAGAAAGGGTGTTAAAAGGGAAGATGAATCAATCAAAACAAAAATAAAAAATGAATCTTTGTCCGTTTGGTGCCAGACACTTACTTAGAGATGGCGAGGGATGTGATCTCAGCTGGGTGAGCGTTGTCCTTACGATCAAACGCTGTGTGCATGGTGAGTTTGCTCCGGAAGACCAGCTGGCGCTCCCATCTGTAGCCTTTGAGCACACAAAAATAAACAGTCAAACAAGAAACTTTTTAACAATGCAGCTACCACTGTCATCAGATCAGTGGAGGTTATTTTTTGGATCAGAAAAGAACCCCTGATAAACTCCTTGTTTCTTACAGTGTTCCTTAACCTTTTTTTTTTACACATCACTCGACACCCACCTGTCCTGAGCTGGTTATATGTCCGTGCATCCAATGCGGAGGGCTGGAGAGGCTGTGGCACTGAGCTCTGGCCTGGATGAGCCGGATGAGCCGGATGAGCCAGATGAGGGTGAGGGACTTTAGTTTGGCCCTCAGAGTAGTTGACGAACACAAAGCCGTCCTTCTCATCAATGCTTAGAGTGTCTGACCAACGGTGAGAGTCGTCAGAGCTGCTGTCCATCGACCATGAGGCTCCCGTTCGGGCTGAAGGACCTTAAAGTTAAGTCAAGATTGTAAAGGGAAGTCTACATTCTCAGCCAAACAAATGTGTTGGAAATACAAGCTACGTTACAATTAACAACAAATATAGATGTACATAGATGGAATGATAAAGCAAAAATATGGTCAGAGAAACTTTGCATGATGTTGTATGGGTTTAGCTGAGATTTAAACATGATGAGCTTGCATCAGTGATTAAAAGCTGCTTCTGCATGTTTTATTTTCAGAATTTAAAATTATATTTGAACAATATCAAAAGTTATGGGTAATTTTTTAGGGAGTTCGTCTTGCTTCCCTGACTGTAATACTGAAAGTGTACTGCTATCACCACTTATGTTAATTTCTGCGACAGACAAAAGAGCAGCTGGAATCTATATTCTTGAGTAGCTTTTATTTAGCTAAATCAGCTAAACAGTGAGAACTCAACCATGAAGTGTTGATAAGAAGAGTTGTGTGTTTAGTACCTCTGGGTCTGTGGACAGTGCTGCCTGGTTGGCTGCCTCCACCTGTTGAAGGGTTGCGTGGTACTTTGGGCTCCTGGCTCAGACTGGGCTCATCTCCATCTGACTCGCTGCTGTCGTCATCGCCGTTGTGAGCCACGCCACCCTCTGTGAGACGAAGAAAAGTTTACATAATTAGTTATGTTTTTACGCAATAACACATTATTTTTCATAGTGAATTTATTGTGCAAAGCATTAATATAAGCAGGCAACAAAAGGATCCACAAATCACAAGAGTAACCATGCAACTTTTCTGCAATATGTAATGTTGGACGTCGTCAGCCTATTATCTTTTCTGACATGTCACTTTATTACTGGCAAAGAAATTTCAGCCTTCACTTGGTCCAGCAGCTCTAGTATGTTTTTTTCCCGGGTAGGACTCACCGATCTTCTCATCCCCACAGCACTCAGGCACATCTGGCTCTACTGGCTGTGGAGCAGGGGTTTCTGGCACTTGGAGGAACTCCATTCTCCAAAACTACAAGAGATATTTGAAGAAAGGTTTATTTAAGCATAGTTACATCACAGCACATTTAAAGTTTAGCTTCTCCATAACACATGCAGACAACCTCTCTTTAACTTGGCAGGAACGGAACCAATATAGTGTTATTCATAACTCTAAATTGTTTCTTATCTTATATTCTTGTTTTGAAGAACACCTATACACATGCACGCACATTGACAAAAGCCCAAAAGTGAATACTTCTGTCTGCCACAGATACCACAAGCAACCTTTTAAAAACAACAGATTCAAAAAGAGTGCACAATGAGGTATTGTCAGCAGGATAGCTGAAATTCTGTAAGACTAGAGTGGGCTGGGTTACCCTGACAACACCGTCCGAGTGTCCCGTGACAATGACGTTCTGTGTGTCCCACTCGTTCATCTCCGACACGCAGCAGCACAGGATCTGCTGGCTGCGCCCTGTGAAGGTGTTGGCGCTGGCGATGGGGCTGCCATTGATGCTCCACACGTGAATGTATGTGCCTGCACAGGACACGATATCCCCCTATAGAAACACACATTATGTCTTTATGTCATATGTACAGCTTCTGTTCCTTAGCTCATGTCCATCAACCTGGAGTAAAAGTACATATTATTATTATTTCCATCTAAAGTGACAGAGGAGAAATGTAAGCTCCAGCTCACCGTCAGTTCATTGATGCACAGAGCAGAGACGGGCGCCCGGTGTCCCCTGAGCTGCGTGACGAAGGAAAGCTTGTTGAGGTCCCATATGATGCAGGTTCGATCCCGTGAGCCGCTGACAACAATGTGGTATGCTGATGACGCCGTCAGACACGTTACAGCGTCTGTGTGGCCCAGTAATGCCTACAATGAAACAGTACGGACATTAGATGGACTTTCTTGCTAAAGGCTGCAGGGGAGTCACTGATGACTTCTCTCCTCAAGTTTGTATGTATATATGTGTTTTTACCTGTTTCATCGTAAGTGACTTGGCCCTGTCCTTAGAGGTTCCTGTCTCCCACACACATATGGCTGTGCTGGTGCCACCGGTGATAACCAGCTTTGGGTTTGGACATATGGCACAGAGGATCTGACCCCACTCTGACAGACACTCGTACACCACCAACGCCTGAAATAAGATTAAGATTAGATCAAAGATTGATTTGGCAGGGGGTTCAGAAGAGAGGAAATGTAGATGGAGGTCCATTCTGACTGTATTCACTTAGTCTATATCTTAACAACTAACATTTCACCCGATCAACAACCATGCAATTGGTTACTTTACATTCTAAGCCTTTTAAAAGTCCAGAGAAGATTTACAAATGTAGTGAGAGTATGGCAATACATTTACTATTCAGGATAAACTAAACTAGAACCAAGAACCCTTGAGCTGCTTATACTAAAACTGCAAGCTTCTGTATAAGAACCTGTTGTAGAGCATGATTGCTAAGAAACAGGTACACTTTTTTTCTCACTCCCAAAGAGAAATAAAGTGTTTGGCAGTTTACAGGCATGGTCTGGTAACTAGTCTGCTGGGAGATACAATTTGATTCTACTCTGTACAATGCTCAAGTAACAGACAACAGTACCACATCAGATACAGAAGAACTGCATTAGCAGCACTTCTGTAATGGCTGCTATAGTCAAAACCGAGTGGTCTGTAAGCAATGTGCATTTTTATTCAAGCACCAGCAGGGGGAAACATTGTATTTAATAATTTTTCACATTCATGTCTCAGTTTCAAGGAGGAAAAAAGCAAGAAACCTACAGTAGGCCATGTTTCAATTAAGTAGTAGTGTTAAAAAGCCACAATCCTCTTAAGATCAAAACACTCCCATAAACATTAACAAAAGAACAAAAAAGAGCACCCAAATGACAGTATTGAACATTAGGTCATGACACAGTACATTGCACCTCCACTTGCAACACAGAGGTCGTCAGTGACACGCAGTGTCTGCAGCCTGGAGATTAAAGGAGCGTGCTTGAGAAGTCTCTGTGAAACTGTGGCTGTTATAGTAACGGTTATTGACCTTGTCAGATTCATAATTAGCCAGACGGCAGCTGAGGTCGGCGTAGCCCCAGGCGAAGGTCTTGCTCCAGGTAGGGGGAACCAGAACTTTGTTTTGCTCCACAGCAAGTATTCCCTTGTCGGTGCACACGATCTGTCCCACGGGCTCCTTTAGCTCTAGATAGAGTAATACAAAGAAATGTGAGTGCTGAGTCTAAAGGGATTCACGCACAGAGTAATGGCTATAAACAAACATTCAGCTTCACCCCTATAACATCAACCCTCTCTTTACCCCTGCCTGGATAGACCCAGCATGTAGCTTATGGTTTAACAATGGTGTCATTTTCTTTAAAGATCTTTTTGTGAATGACTCAATAACATAATCAATACATGGCAGTATTTGGTATACCATCAACAGAATATAGCATCACTTTATATCAGTCAAATGTATAATGTTATGTTATTAAAAAACAAAAACAAAAAACCCCCACATATCTATCATATATATATATATCTATATGTGTATATTGGTGACTGTGTGTGTGTACATGTACCTTTGACAGGTGCTAGAGAGGGTCTGAGATTGTCCAGATGATGAAAGAAGATCTTGTCACTGTTGGAGCTTGGAGGAATGCTCGCTACGTCACCGTTGGCTTTACTGCGTACCCGTTTAGGAGGATGGGGCTTCTTAAACAGCTGAAACATACACACAACAACAGTCAGATTTTAACATCAAGAATTAGCCAAATTCTGGTAAATGTTGGCTGTGGTAGGTAAGTTTCTCCACTAAGAGAAAAATTGAGAATATCCTCACACTGAATTGAAGTTTCCAAAACTTAATTGGGCTTAAAAAGGCAAGGCTTTAATTTGTCAAAGTGGCATGAGGTGTTCTGGCTGATGAATCTGTTTAAGAATAAATAATAATAAATAATCTGTTCTTGAAAACTGCATCTCAGCAAGCAAACAACCACAATTTGGATGTCTTGTTGCATTCTAGGAAGATTTAAAGACAACAGCCCCGCAAGCAGCCCATGAGACTGTTGCATTAATCTAGCCTGAAGTAGTAGTAGCCCGTAGCAGTTCTATGATATTAGCAGTAGTGACAGTGGTAGTAGTGGTGGTAGTTAAGTAGTAACAGCACTACTACAGTAGCACAACTGTTGGAAGCTTCAGGTGTTCGGACATCGGCCAGTATCTTTAATTTCTGATCAAGGTTTTTTTTTATTTTAAAATAAATTATAAAAGACACACAGAGCCTGAACATAGGGCAGTCAAGTCCATCACCCCCCAAAACTCCCAGTCTCTGACCTGTTTGGGGATTTGTCCAAAGTTGTTGATGAAGCCGATTGTGGCCGTCTCCTTGAGCGGATCGTTGATGTTGTAGATGTCCACCTGACCCTCGTAGAACAGGTGGTGGAAGACGTTGACTGCCTCCACTGCCGGCGGACCCTGCTGCTTGTAGCCAAAAATCAGGTCGATCCATTCGTGGAGGTGGGCCGATACGTAGTCACACTCCAACGCCTGCAGCCGGGAAGACAAGACAGAGGTTAATGTATACTGACTCAAACTCTGATCTGAACTGACATAAGTGGGTTTATTTCTTACCTCTCTGTGGACTCTAATGAACTCCCGGGGGTCACCCTTGGCCCAAGGTGGCAGGATGACGTCACCCAGTTTGGTGCCATTCTGCTTGGCACCTGGCACATCAAAATTCGATGGCAGACAGAGCATTAATATTCATGCACTCAATTCTCTTGGTCAGTTTGACTTTGAATTTCATTAACTGTTATTGTCCACGCTTTTTGATACTGACCCAGGTCGAAGTTGTTGGCGTTGAGCAGGAACTCTGGTAGATAGAAGAATTCGGGGATGAGCTCCTTGACGTCGGCCATGTTGTGTTTGGAGGCAGAGAGCCAAGCTTCACGCACACTGTGGAACATCCTGTCAGCCAGGTCAAAATGACCTCCCTGGTAATCACACAAACACACAGGCAGATGGTTTGACATTAGGTACGGACACTTGAGAGCACCAGCAGGCCTTTAATGTTAACTTACTTGAATAAAATAATAGATTTTCTGTTGTTTTTCATGAGTTCAGGGGGAAAAAACACCATCCATCTTCATATGTAAAACTGGTATTTCCTTATGAACAATTTATTACACACAGACACAACGTTCAGTGGGCTACAAAAGTTTAGTTCAAACCTGAAGTCTGAGGAAAATCTGTGTGAAGGGCTCCATCCGGACTAGATAAGAGGCTACAATCATGGCTGATGAGTAGTGGGTGCCATAGTGGTATGCTGGGGTTTCACCTGGTAGGACAGAAAACACCACATTCAGTTACAATGGAAACACAACTTTGATAGAGAGTTTAGAACATAAGTAATGACTGATGATTAGATATTATGGGTAATCAACAGACCAAAAAAGTATCTGGCATAGCATAACCGTATTCTATTTTTTGTGTTTTAAAATTTGAAGGTTCAGTTCAGGTTGGTCAAGGTAGAAATTGTGCCACATTATGGTACATTTGGCTCTGTCTGTTGCAGGGTTTGAAGTCCTATTGCCAAATTGTAAAACAAACTGAAATTTAGTTGGCTTTTTGATCTCCCTGACTGCATCCTGTTAAATGCCGTTTGTTGATTCAACTCTTACCGTTGGGGTCTTCCCAGTCCTTGTACCTCTTCTTGTACTGCGTCAGTCTGTCGTCAGTCTGGGCGCCCATTGGCTTGGCGAGGTTACGGAATGTCTTGGGGTTGTTCAGGTCCAGTTCCTGGTTAACCAACACAAACATTACCACCGTTACCATAACAGGATTAATGAGGGAACAGGCGTGCACTTTTCTTGTGGCTAACTGCTGTACTCCCAAACCCTGCAATCACCTCTGAGTCGAAGTCGGCCAGGATCCAGGGGAAGACAGGATACTGCATTAGGTCGTTGTAGGATCGTCCTGCCAACGTGTTCAGATGCATCAGGTACTGGAAATTACTGATCTCTCCTCGCTGGAAAACATATAGTAAACACATCAGTGTTATATTATGACGTTTCTTCATGTTGTTAAACGGAACATTGGTGTTAGATCTAGTCTAGGTTCTTACCTCCCATCTCTGAGTCACTGACTTTTCACCAACCAGTGTGCTAAGGAGCCCAGATCTGAAAAACACCAGGACAGAGAGGATGTTTAGCTGAAACAGCTCAGTACTTTGCTGTTTTCTAGCATGTGGGCAGTGAAAGGATCCTTTAGTTACAAAGCAATCGCTGCATGTGACGATATATGTCGTCCTTTTCTTTATTTTATTTTCCAGCTCACTATTTGATTCATTACCACAGAGGCCCATATCCAATATTTAGGAAAATGCATTTAACACAGATTAAAAACAAGGTAATATATATGAATATATACCCACACATTCCATAAATCATTTCACAGCCTCCAAAAAGGTAAAGCATTTCCCAGAGAACCAGTGGAATAAAAAAATGTATGTAGGACAGTGCTTATGCTGAATGTAGCACAGAGGAGGTCTTACCCCTGTTCCACACTTGTGTTGGGCCTCTGGCCTGAAACCGACTCAGAGCTGTCAGCCAGTGAAGGCACCACGGCCAAGAACCTGCAGGGAATTCATAATAAAATTAGGAATAAATATAAACGTCTTTACTTGCATATAAACCAGTGTAACCTGACAGAAATGACAATACTGGTATTACAGTGATCTACTCCAAGCAGAAATATTATACTGACAAGACGCTTTATAAGAGGATTTTATTTTAATATCACACAGAAGTAACCTCTGTAAAATCCCTCTTTTCAGCAAATACCCTGAATTCTGACTACCAAAGTCTTTTATCAAATAAAACTGCATTCATTGTCCTTAACTAAATCGTATTAGTGATCACATTTCTGAGGGTTGAAAAGAGGTCAAAAACATTATATGAAAAGGTTTTATAAAACTATTCTTTCCTTTACTTAAATGCATCAGTACCTTTGATAAACTTTGTTGCGGACTCCTTTCTGGAAGGCTAACAAGTAGTTTCTTCCATCTGCTGAGAAGACTTCCACTGCCATGGGCTGAAAGGTGATGACAAACAGGGCATTTAATAATAAAAAAACACAAGGTGGTGACTTACACACTAGAAATAAAAGAGTTGTGGTGTAAAATTCTGTCATAGTGAATTAAAGCATTAAAATTTAAGCCTAAATATGTTAAGCTACTCGCTATAAATGTGTATAAAATGTGGGCTGTGTTTACTGGTGCCACAGCATGTGTGTGTATGTATGTGTCATATGTGTATACTGACCTGCAGCAGGTAGCGTCTCTTGTGCACCTCCTTGATGTCTTCATAGGCGAAGATGCTGCAGGTTCTCTTCAGTTGGCTCTGTCCTTGTCTCGCTCCTCTGGGGATGATGGCTTCATGCAAGCTGGATACAGACAGACAACAGACAGTGATGCATTTAGTTTTACACAAAGTTTTACCCTTAAAGCACTTATAAGTTCACATCACAAATTTTCAAAGCTCCCCTTACAGGAAAATGTAGCTAATTTATTTCCTTGAGCTAAAAAACATCATGCTATTTTAAGGCAAAGAAAATTTACCAATGTGATCTAATCTTAAGGTATCTATACAAACATATATAAGAAAAATAACTAACAAAATGGAGGAGACACTAGGGTTAACTATTAACTTTCATTATAAATCAATGTGGAAATCGTTTTCATAAATGTATTTAATAACTAGTTTAATATATAAATTATCTAAAAAAAAGACTTAGATTGCTTTAAATATGTTTAATTTGATTTTAAAATGTATCACAAAATATTGCATTTACAATGAGAGCCAGCAAGCTAATAGTCATTTTTACTGTAAGCATAAAAAGAAGGATTGTATTTTTATTTGAATGAATGAATATTTAATGTTTTTCTTAATTGACCAACAAGATAATTGAGTCCCCATTGCAGCCCCTGAAGACAGCATGTTTTGACTGCATAGGATTGATCAGAGGGTCAACCAGTAAAACACATGAAGGGAACACAGTAAAATCAAAGAGGCATCTGTTGGTTATTTTCACAGTGTGTCTCAGAGGAAAAGACAGAGCTAGTTCCCTAATAAGATAAATATGTAATATCTCTGCTGAGTTTCACAACGCATGCTCTATCTGCTGCATTACATCATTCCAGCAGCAGAAACTCCCACTGCAGCGTCCAGAGGAATGATGTCATCTCTTCTTCAGGGAGGGAAAGTACACTAACTGTGTCATCATCTATTCAGGGATAATTATGCAACCCAGGTGTGAAGTTGTGATTCTCCTATAGGTGTGCAGACCTTGATGTAAAGTGAAAGACACAGGAGCCTGGACCTACTTAGGGGGCAGAGTGTCGATGTCCCTGATCTCCCTGGACACAGTCATGGTGTAGCCATCGATGACATAGAAGTGCTCTTTCCCAAAGAGTAGCAGGCCCTCGCTGGTGTCCAGACCCTGCACCCTGGCACAGCGGTACATGTGCTGAATCTGGAACAGTGAGGAGCGCATTAATTACCCAAAGTTTAGAGAAAGCAGTTTTCTAATGAAAAGTCACATTTAAATTCCTCCAGGCAAAAAAAATCTGTGAAGAACAAATACATGAGTGGGGAGTTGTGCTTTCCCCTTACTCAGTAGCTGCTGGTGAGACGGCCCAGAGGAGAGGGTTGAATCCCTCGGTGCTGCAGTTGAGCTGCTCGGTGGCCATCAGAAAGACCACAGCAGTACCTCATTAAAAGGATGGTGTATCTTATGTATATATCATGTGACTAAACATGATCCATTTAATTTTTCTGGGCTAATAGAGTGAACTGAAAAGTGTATTTTGTTGAAAAGAATAAAACTGCAGTTTGGCATTTTTAGTAATATTTTCATGTTGTTTACAATTGCTTGTGTGGGCTCACGCCGTTTTTTCAATAAATTATTTGTGAAAAATAATATATTCCAAACAATTTTGCAATTTGCTCCCAACTTCTGGAAAAACCGATAGCACAGAGTGTGAGTAACATTGTTAAAGAAAGGTAGTGCTATGCCATTAAAAATGATTGATAGAAAAGATCTACTTGTAGTATGCATAGATAATAAACTCAATCTGAATCTAATTAATAATACAAAATGTTATAACACTGACATATTACACATATATAAACTAAATACATTTCTCCACCAAACAACATAAAATAATTATCCAAACAATGTCCTTATCTATTTAAAGAAAATAAATACATTTGATTGTGTAATCTTATGTTTGTGTTCCTTTCTGACCTTCTCTCCCTCCTCCAGGAGGCGCAGCAGGGACGTGTTGTCGGTCCGTTGCTCTTCTTCAGGTCCTCCTGACTCTAACAGCTGCTCCTGAAGCTGCTCCTGACTGTCCTCATCTGCCCCATCCGCTGTGGACCGAGACCTCTTCAGAGGAGCCTTCACCAGGCCTGGAGAGCAGAGAGCAGCAACATGTTTGAAAGGGATTTCAGGGAAAGGAACACTACCAGAAAGAAGCGTTTGTGGCAAAAAACAATACCAGTGTGATTTCCTAACCAGCTTTTGAAGTTAGACACCATACCGTGTCTTCCTGGTATTGTCTGTGTACCTTTGACTCTAGCGATGGTGTCCTCTCCGTGCTCGGGTTCATGCTGTGTGGTCTCTCCCTCTGTGTTGTGTTCCACAGAGTGCTGATACATGCCAGGGTTTCCAGACAGCAAACGCACGTAGTACTCCTTACTGTCGTAGCTGATGGCTCGCCGGTAACGGAGAGGCTTCTGCAGAGGGGCGTAGAAAGAGTAGTAGGTGAGGAACAACTTACACCATCCCCAAGGGGGAACAGCTTTGGAAAGCTGTTCATAGGTTTAAAATTATAATAATATTCAAGAATGGTTTGCCTGCATATTATTGCAAATTACCAAATACATGGATTAAAGGAGATTTCTGTTCTCAGAACCACCACTACACAGAAGACATTTACTGGAAGCAGTGCATTAACATCAGCGCCAAGTCTTTTATCAAAGTTTATCATACTTAGTCATAGCTGTGGGACATTATATTGACTTAAATGTATGAGGATCTGGGATGACCTACTGAGAAAATACCAATAATGTGCAGTCACTGACATGCAAAAGACATTGCGTACAAGAAAAATTACAAAATGTTATCAGTCATGGTTAGTTTCATCATAGTCATTCTCTGCTGTGACCAACATACAGTAGATGTGAGGTCCGAACTAACAGAAAAACAACAACAGCTGAGATGACGTAATTCTTCAGCCTCATCTGTAACACCAATAACCTGATGTGCATGTAAACACTTTCTGTACAGTACCTGGGATGCATTTTTGCTTGATAGTCACACTATGCATTTTATTCTCTAGTGTATTTTAGGAGATTTAATACTAGATGGAAAACAACTTCAAAGTCACAGCAAAATGTATGCACTGGGTCAGCTGAACATATACATGTTCACATGCACATGTACACATACACACAACAACAACAACAACAAGTTAATAACAGCACCAGGAAATTTCCTGTTCCTGGAGTTTAGCAAAGCATCATATTTACAACAACCACCTTTCAACCAGGATATGGCCTCAAAAACAGATTTACACGTTGCTTCAACTGTCAACTGCAACAGTTGCATGATTCATAGGATTCTGATTTGCTCTTGAAGCATGTTTGTTACTATCATGCAGTCACGCCAGGCACTGACAGGAGCTCAAGCTCCTGTGGACTTCAACAAGATACCTGGGCACGGTCAAGAACCCCAGCCACTGAGGCCACTGAGGTTACCAGGGGCACCAGAGGAGGTGAAGAGGGCTAGAGAATGTAAAAAGATGGAGAATAAGATACATGATGTATAATACATGATATATGTTAATTAGGCCTCAGGGAATTTGGAGTTAAGAAGGATCCTGTTGAGTCTCTTTGTTCATCCAATTCCATCTAGCAAGTTGCCAGAGCATTATGATTTTAACTTTTCTTTAATCACCTCTGGCTGTTTGTATTGTTGGTAATCAAGAAAATTTAGTTTATGAGTTTCCATGTGTTGTGTTTTGGAAAGCTGACATAAATACAAACCTAAACGGGTATGCCTGTGAGCTATCTCTTTGTATCTTCCTGACCAAATAAATCATTGTGGAGAGAAGAGAGGCACCCACTGGCAAACAGAGAGGAGGGATTATTTGTAGAGCAAACAAAGCTAAATGTGTCTCGGTGGTGCCAGGAAAAGAGAGCCACCAGCTCACTTCCTCACATGACACCGATGAGCTAGTCCAAGAGCTCTATTTCAGGAGAGCTATTCTTACAAGTTCACTACTCTGCAAGGGATCGGTCAAAGTTACAGACACAATGGAGGAAACTAATTCTAAAAAAATGTATTTCTCCCCACATTTTATTCAAAATATTTATAGGACATTTCTATTCTGGGATGTAATGTTTACAGACAAGGCTATTTTAAATACAGGTGTTTGTGCCAGTATATCAATGGCCTCACATATGATCCTTTAATTGCTTTCATAGACTGCTTCTGCTGCAGCTAACAGGATTATTGTATAAATAAATAATGAATATTGCTACGTCTACTGTTATGGCCCTGTGACTGTGACTTTAGTCGCTTGAAAAGTTAGTGATCAAGGATTGAAGGCTTTATCTGCAGTCATTCTTAGTGGAAGCTACTCTGATGGGGGTGTCAGCTAAATTTATAAAATGTAGATAAACTAGAAGTATCTATCTTATCTCTCTTGGTGTCACTGCTAAAAAAGAATATTTAGAAGGTGAAGAAACAGAGATAAAAATGGAAAAGTGAAGAATAAAAACCATACTGCCATTCACTGTATATCACAAAAGAGGTAACTCCTGCAGAAAAGACGCAGTTCATAAAAAGTGTTCCTAAAAAGAATCGTAACTATGAGTCCCTTTATGTTACCTAAAAGTGTGGTAGGGCATTACAGAATTATATAAATCCAGACTTAAAGATGAATACCTGTCCAGAGTTGGCGTTAGGCTCTAACTCAGGGATGTATGGGTAGTGGATATAGAACATGTCATTGCGAACCATCTTCTTCCTCATCCGGCAGGGCCCCTCTGTCATCTCCAGCACAAACTTGTCCAGGTGTGAACCGATGGGTGGGCCCCAGAGGCCCCGTTCACGCAGCAGTTCGTACTCGATTGACGCCCACTCCTCGGTCACGTACTTGAGGGCGTTCTGCTGCCGCTGGGAGACAGAGGGGTGGATGAAGTGTGAGTGGTGAGTCACTTTAAATGTGTTGCTATAAATTATACATGCTGTCACAACTGCTACACCAGCCTGTGAAAATGTACCTGTACTGTGTTTTTATTGTGTTTGGTCCTGCAGTAATATCCTGACTGCAATGTTACATAACGGTCTGTTGTTTTGTCCTGCAGCTGGTTTCTCAGTGTAACTGTACTGCTACTATATCATATCCATTAAGCCAGCTTGAATTCTTGCACCCACTGTGTTTGGTACTAATGTATGATGTGTGGTACCTCTTGATATTCTTTGTACTGCATGGCCACCAGGTCTCGAACAACAGCGATGTGTGTGAACATCCACTGGAAAGTCTCCTGTTAATTAGAAATACAAGATTGTAATAAAACAAAGTTGACTAACACAATAGTTTAAGGAAATTCTACATGTTGCTGCAGCCACACAGTGAGTGTCAGTCGTGTTTGAGTGTACCTGTGCGGACAGGCTGTTCTTGTTCAGGCTGTTCTCCTTCTTGTTGCGCCGGACGCCTGTTAGCTTGGAGAGGCCGAAGCCGCTGCTCACTCTGGACAGTTTGGACTGGGTCGCTGGTGCCACTGCCTCACCACGGCTGATATACTTCTTTTCGTGAACTGACCAACGGAGAAGGAGATATAAACAGACACATAAGTGCATTTTTTACTTTCAAGCGAGACAAATCAGGTAAGATGGTGACTAATGTGACTAGTGAATAAATGTATCATGTATATTTAATTCTTCTTTTTGCTTAAAATTGCATCTGTGGTAAAAACTGCCAAACAAAGCAAATGTAAGTCTGAATTCTGAAAGTGAAGGACAATATTTGGGTAAAAGATATATATATTTTTTACTTTCTCACGGTCACAGTCTTGTTTTCATTGGAAATACAAAAAAAAGTCTGGTTGAGCAGACTTGGTCGAAACTCTGCCGATATAAGAGTGGTGAATTACTACCAGCCACATGCCAAAACATTTTTTTACAACACTGATGAGCACGAGGGAGAGAACCAGCAGGAGAGAGAACAGATCAGCAATAATAGGCCCTATTGGCAGAGCACCAGATTAAAGTATTTGTTTTGCAAAACAAGAGGAGCTCCAAAATAGTTGATCTAGTTATGTAAATCTGGATAAGCACTCACTCCCAGGGAGAAAAGGACACCACAAATCCAACACAGACATGGCTCAGGAAATATCCAGCAAGCCTGTGTGGTGACGTCTGTGTGTGTATGTGTGTGTTTCCCAGTGTCACCCACCCAGGTGGTTCTGCCAGCTCTTCAGGGCCGGCTCTTCCAGGGCGGGCCGCGCTGTGGCTATGTCCACGTGGCCTCTGTCGTTGCAGGGCAGGGACACTTTGAATATGTCCTCCAGCATCTGACGCTTGCTGTGCATCAGCTCCGTCCACACCCGGTTCACTGCCTTTAGCAGCAGCTGCCGACCTGCAGAGGGAGGACAATAATCACTGTTCATTACCAAGTTCGTCTGCTTTAATGACATTAAAGTACAGCGCTGTTGTGTGACTGTTTCTCATTAAATTAGTTAGCAGTCTGGTCTGAACAACGCTGTCATTTGTGGCACATTTGTAAAACTCTTTTATAATGCCTGACATATTCATTACAATCCTTCTGTCTCCTAGTTTGTAATACACTTCAAGTCTCCATGCAAACTCACACAAACACTTGTTCCAATACAAACACTGGAAAACATACTAGATACACACAGTGGAACACACTGGATAACATACACACAAACATGCTAAAATATATTACTTTAAAGAAGTATTAAAACCCTGAAACTTGCAGTGGATTGTATTTTGCTAAAGTGAATTATGGATACACTGAATTTGCCTGTTGTTGTCGCAGTAACACATAATGTCGTCTTCTGTCAAATGGCATTTGCTTAAAATGACCCAAAAAAATAGCCCATTCAACTTGATTACGCTGGAAAATGAATCATGTTTTACTCAAGCCCACCGACAAAGACTGTTTTAAATAAGTACTGAATCAGACGTTTGAATATGTATTTAAAATCAGTCAGCAGGGTTAAATGGGTTCATCGACACTCATACACACACATAACAGTGTCTCACCCTCGCTGACGTCGTGGTTGTGCGTAGCGTCAGCCTCATTCTCTGTGGGCATCATGACATGCCAGGTTGTCATCCTGGCCTCCGCCTCCAAACCGAAGCCCTCCACGCTACTGCAGAGAAAAACACAGCGACTTTGTAGCAACCTGCCATGTAAAGACCTGAGGGGGGGAGGGGGGGGCGTCACAGGGAGTTCGATTGTTTGGCTTCTCTGCAGCAGATAAGTCTACTCTCTATAGTTGTGCAGTGTGTCGTGTTAAAGCACATTGTGTCCCCAGCATGGTAGGAAACTGTGTCTCCCCACCTGCTGTAGTTTTGGAAGCTGTCCGTACTTCTGGCAGGACACACAAGCACAAAGAAAAAGAGACTTGCCACAATTACACCTCCAAGTGGACACAACACAGTCTCAGTCAGGGGAAAAACAGGTGAGACTCTGTGGTAAACATTCCTCAGAGGCAGAGCTGCTCAGAGATAATCTCACCGAGTTAAATGTCTGGAACCGAAGAACAACTAGTTGTAGTACCACTATAAAATATACTACAGAGTAGAAATGGTGGTTACTCGTTATTCGTGACATTCAAATAAGACTAAATAGCCTAAATATATGTAAGCTAAGTTAACTAGCTAAACTCCTGAAAAACGGCAAGGCTGGATATGACTTTAAATGTTTCATTTGGTAGTGTCACCAGCTCTTCTCTTACACCTCGTTTCATTCCTATCCTTTAGTCCAATATGATTCAGAAAGAAAAATTGCTATGATTCATGTCTGTTAGCGCATTCTCCATCTCATCCTCCACACAGAGTACATGCACAGATCTATGTGATGAGTCTGCTATGAATAATGCATGCTTCACACAACCAAATCTAACACTTGGACAGATTTTCCTCTGACATAACAAACAAGGGTAAAAGCTTTATGTTCATGTTGCTCATTAACTGCTACATGCTGCAACGCTAAACAAACGGCTTTAACGTAAATACTCATCACTACTGCAATACACTGATGACACACACATTAAGCCACCACGATGTCTTTTTAAAGAAGCTGTGCTGAACACTTTCCTCTGCCGCGAACAATGTCGTTTTGTGAGCAAACCCCTTGTGAAAATACTTCTAGTATTGATGTGTGATGGGCGGGAGGTGGTTTTTAATTTTTCTTTAATTGTACAGTCAAAACACTAGTCTGTGTCCAGGCATGTCTTAAGACCAAGCTACAAAAAGATTTATAAATATATATTCCCCTTAAATACACATTTGAGACAAGCCATATGTCCCCTTACCTCCCACTGTGCAGGCAGATAAAGCAGTGAGCCAGACAGGCCACAAAGTCCTGATCGTGGTTTCCCGGCCCGAGCACCAGGTTGCGGTTGACGGTCAGGACCCGCAGGGCGTCCAACAGGGCCACCTGCTGAGCTACCGTCTTGTGGGGTCGACAGAGCTGGTAGAGCACCGTCCGATTCAGACAGTGGTAGATGGTGTCGAGGGAAAGACCCTGGGAACGCCTCTTGGACTGCAGGAGGAGAAGAGGCAGGAAAACAAACAGGTGTAGGAGGTTAGAGGGAAAGTATTTTTAAGTTAAGTGCTGAAACAAGAGAAAGGTGATAAATAGAGTTGAAGAAAAGAGAGAAAAGAGAAAAGTGTCGTTTTGTGGCTGTTTCTCTGCTGTGCTCTGGATATGGATAAAGCTGCTGTGGAAATAATTCAGCAGAAAGAAGATTTGTTTGAGCAACCCGAGTTGAACTGGGTTAAGTAGTTAGAGGGTTGTGAATGCAGCTTTGTTATTCTAGTGTTGTTGTTTTAGTGTCTGAGAAGAAAACTGCTAAAGGACTTAATGTGGAAACATATTTGTGAAAATGAAAAGACTTTCCAACAAAACTTGACACTTGAAAACATCAAGTTAAAAAGTTGGAAGTTGCACAGAATAGTGCAGTAAAGACGTGCTTGAGATGCATTGGAGTTGTCCTTGATATTACATTAATTTGGTATATATAATTGTCTGGCTGCAAAAACAAGATAAATAGAAGAAAAGACATGACTTTAGAACAGTTTTCCAGGATGCAGAGGCACATTAAGGTTTGAAAAATGAATTTCAGAGCATAATCTGTTAATCTTCTCAATTGCACAGTAGTGTGCACAGAAAGCATTGCATTAAAAGCAGAAAGTCCCCACACATGACTTTACTTGAGAAGTCTCAAAGCAATCAAGCTACTTTACTGGAGAGCTAAAACAAAGGATTATTTATAAAAACATCACTTAGAATTTTTGCATCCTGAAAAAAGGCAAATGACCCTTTTTTCTCTTTTTCTCAGTTAAAGCAAGAATAAGCCAAAACATAAACTTAAGCTTACATACAATACATTTTTAGAAAAAAATTCCCATGCATCCAACTCCACAGACACAGACATACATATACAGAGAGACACACAAACACACACCTGTCAGTCGGTCAGGGATAACAGTCGTATCTAATTTATGTGCCTTCACGGGCTAAAATGAGCAAATGAGGCCTGCAGTCAGATGGATGCTGCTTATCTAATTTAATCCTGAGAGTGTTCACTGGTTACATTAACTGGAAGAAGACTCACAGAAGGACTGCTTTATTTCTTCATCCACTGCAGGCAGCACACACACGCTGTCTGATTGCCTCTGGCTGCTCTGGAGAAAAGCGCCCAGTCTGATAATGCAGGTTGTTTAATTTTGTTGGGTGTGATAAAATTGACTGCTATAATCTGACTCAGGAAAATAGCCATTAGCTCTATTGTAAATGTAGTCAGGCTTCAGAAAGTCCTAAGCCTCTAGCAACATTTTGAAAGTGCAAGAGGGGAAACCATACACAGCCTGAGAGAGACGCAGGAAAATCAGTATTTTTTTGATATACCAAACTTGTATTATTAAGTCCCTTGATGTCTTTGTGACACATGTGAGTTCTATTTACCATTTGAGTTCATCTGTCCATTCTGAACCTTCAAGAATTTTTAAAGGCAGTTTACCTGTCCTATGAGCTGTACAATAAAGTCCACCACCAGCTTGGAGTCCTTGTTGAACATGCCCTGCCATAGCTTGTCCACCACACGTTGGGTGAAGTAGAACACATTGTTGACCAAAATCTGATAACTGCCACCACTGCTGAGGGGCAGAGAGGCATCTTCACCTGAATGGAAAGGAGCAGCAAGGGAGAGGCGGTTAACATATATTAGCTGCCATGTATAACCTCTGCTTTGATTTATTTATCATAAATGTGATACTGAAGGATTTTCCGTCTTACGGTATAATTACATAACTAAACAAAAGTCATTGGCTACTGGCTAGTCAGCAAACTACTACCCATATTACCCAGTTTACAGTTATTTGCAGTGTTTTCAAAGAGTTATTGTAATTAGAGTATTTTTAAGACTTGATAGACAGAATGATATAAGTCCTGTGCCTTTATTAACAGAAATGATAATAAATGATATACTGCAAAACAAGCTATACCATAGGTTACTAGCTTAGATACATTAAGAGGTAAGGTCAGAGGTGATGTGTTCAAAAGACAAAACCATATTAAATACACATTTGCTGTATGGTCTTATAGTTTATGCCCACATGTATCTAATTCATAACAACAGACTACAGACTGAAGACTAAATATAACACAAGCATCTGTGTAAAATGCTAAAGACACTTGCAGTTCTCTGGGCTTTGGGCTGTGATCTGCTGACTCATGATGCAATCATGAGAGCATCTCACAGAGCCAACTAAGAAATCGGTCCAAGCTGTCCTGCAGGATGCTTGTCCGGTCCATTTTCTGTATAATCATCAGCTATTTTTGTCAATAGCCATTTTGGCCGGTAGTGAACCATTAAAGTAAGCTGAAACATCAGTGAGCAGCCGCATGAGGAAATAGTTTGAAGGTTTATGTTTATCTTAAAACTATATAATACTGGAGCACAATGAATCTACTAATTGTACAATCTGAGAGAGGCTGGGCCCGTCTGTATGAGGGGTTGATGCCTTTGTTCTGACCTAGAAGGACATCAGCAGCCAGAAGGTGCTCCATGACGCCATCCAGGATGTTGGACTGAAACTCCTTCTGCTGAGTTCTAGTGGAGCGCTCAGGGGACGCCTAGTACCAGAAAACAGACATACACATTTAGGGTCATTATTTACCAAGAGCTATGGTGAGTAAACAATGGGTTTGCTCGCATTTGAAAACTTTTAGTCATCAACTTTTAGTCATCAAATGAGAAAAAAATATTCAGAACTACAGGTGATTATGTGTTCTCCAAGGCACTACATGGGATAATAATTTGAAGCTATAAATTCTGTGTCCATCCACCCTGGATATTTACTCACCTCCAACAGCAGGTCAATGATGGGTGTCTGCTTGCTGGCCGGGGTCATGCAGAGGTTGTCCATGATCAGGACCCTCATGAAGTCAAAGACATACTTTTTGGCTGGGTGGTTGGTCAGAGAAGTCTTGGAGCCCACGTTACAGTATTCAGACTGGCTGCGATTCATACCCGAGTCCCCGGCAAAGGCCTTGAACTCCTCGGTGGGAGAACCGGCCTCGTCGTCCAAATCACTGACCTGGAACAGATGGAAAGACACAGTTTGTCAATAGTTGTTGTTTTCACAATTAAAACAAAACAGTACTTCAGCAAGGTACAGGATAAAAATAAAGACTTTTTATTACAGAAAACCATACAAACTTTTAATTAGAGACATTTCTTCATTTCCCTATTCTACAGTGCAGCCTTGCTTCGTACATGTTCTTTTATCTGATATGTTTTGCTAACAAATAACTTCATTCAATGGCTTGGCACTCTGCAGAAGCAATTATCTGAAAGTAAACTGTGTGAAAACACCCTTTCTTCTGCATTATGTTCTTTAAACTGCAGTAGTTTACAGTAATTACAGGGCCCATGATTTCCAAGGAGATTCCATCGGGGCAATAACTTACTGCATTTATTGCCCAACAGGAGAAAATCACAATCTGCAGTGGCTTGATAGGGTTACTGATCAATACCTGTGATTACTTGCTCTTCTAATTAGATTTTTTGCTTGTAAACCCAATTCCACACCCATTCTCTCAGTCTTATAACAAAAACAACTCATGCATTTGAACTTAAAGTATTGAGAGAAGAGATTTGTGTAGAAGAAGGTGAAGTGCTATTCAAATTGCTGCATTTCCTTACAGTCCCCAGTAAAGGTCACAGATTTCCTATCGCTTCTTTACTTGTGCCAAAAATTTGGCTTCATATTTATTTCGGGGGAGAAAATGTGGAGGCTTACCATCTCAGAGTAGGGCCTGATGTTGAAAGGGAAGACAGTCGCTGCCAGAGCACAGAGGAAATCAGGACTGTGCCACATTGGTGACAGGTCGGGCACGTTGTGGTAAAGATACCTAAAGAACTGCATGAGAGTGACCGGGTACTCCCTCAGCCAGGAACCTTCCTCCTCTGACTGCCACGGCTGTAAGAGACACACACGAAAACAAGTCAAGCACTTATTAGACTGAACCTTTTTTATTCAAACGTCATATCTAAAGCAGTGGTGCTAGTTTTTTAGTTCAAATCAGCGACTAGTTTGGAGGATCCAAGTAAAAAGTGGAACTCGTTCAGCTGCAGCCTGCGCCGTCAGTGAGGCACTTCCCAGGAGGTTGAGTGAAGCTTGTCTCAGCAACCAGCAGTGAGCACAGTGTGATTTACTGAGAAACTCCCAGGTGTGAGTGCGTGGGTGAGGATAAAAACAGCATGTGTGCCCAGTCATTTTTCCTGGATTAATGGAGCTTAAGAAGACGTCTTTAAGGAATCCAGGCAAGCAACTGCAGGGAAATCCAACATAAGCAACCACTTGAAAAGGACAAATGAACCCTCTGAAACCTCTCACATATTAGAGTCTCTCAAGACACATAAGCTCTGTGTGTGTGTTCAAAGGTAATCTGCTTTTGGGAAAAGGTGTTGGATTTAATTAGTCAAATTCTGGGTAAAGAGGTTTCTCTTAAGCATTGCCTATTCAATTTAAATATTGAGAAATTAAAAATAAATTGTTTTGTACATTCATTAACAAAACAAGTTTTGAGAGAACTCCAATTACGAATGTATACTGTAGAACATCTGACACAGACAGCTGGATTATGCTTTCATTCTCGGTTTTTAGGTGTTTTTTTTTCGTTCTGTTTGATTTTTTTCAACTTCATTTGTCTGGGCTTTTACCGTCATAATTATGTTCTTCTTGAAAATAACAAAGACGGATTTATGAAGAACCAAAGGTTTTGTTCTCACCAGGTTGAGCATGCTGCGCAGCATGGCCAGCAGCAGGAAGGCAGCCTCGGTGCACACATTGTGGATGGAGCTCACTACTGTCGCACTGGAGGCTGGCATGCCAAAGATGAACGTCCAGATAGAGTCCAGATCAAACTGAGGAGACAAAAACACACACTGGGGTAATATACACACTACATATTATTATTAGGTACTACATTGGCACAAGCTGCGTGTGTGTTCTTCCATCTACGTGCTGTTTTTACTCCTGGAAACTGCTAATATCTGTATATCAGGCATCAGGGCTCTGTGGCAAACTCTACATGTGGTTACAAGTTACAATTGATGAATTTCAGCTTTTTCTACTGATTTGTTGTTAGCCATGCCAGATAAAAGTGTGTATAGTAGAATACCCTATAGAGGTGTATGCAAGAGTTTGTCCACCCCTTGACAAATAACATAGTTAAAAAAGATGTAAACACAACTTCTCGAGGGTATGAAGCATATGTAATGATATGTACATACTGAAATGCCACTTTCAGTACATGCTTCAGATGTAATATTGTAACCATTTGTCACTGCATAAATCCCAAAGGAGGATCATTTCTGAAAAAGTTTAATTTTAGGAAGAAATAAATGAAGTCTACTTTTTGAATTTCATAGATACTGATTTTTAGAGAAAAAAAAGAACCTGCATTAATTTGTTCAGTAAAATGTAGAGAAAGAAAAAAGGTTGGGTATACTAACATGTACCTGCAGGCTGTCTGGCAGCTCTGTGACAGGCTGCTGCAGGAACAGCGCCATGAGCAGGAAGTAGAGCTCAGGGACGTTGGTGTGTTTGGGCAGCAGTGTCTGCAGAACAGGGAATCCTGGGAAGTGGCAAGCATCCCGGTTGATCTCTCGCAGCGTGGAGCGCCCACCAGCACTGCGGCCCACATTGAAGCCTAAAGAAGGGGGGCGGGGGGTAGAAAGTAAATTGAGGAGTGAATGTTAAGAATATTGCTTGAAGGTAAACAGGTGGCATTACCACATTGACTAAGGCACCTATTGGCAACTCTGAATACAGCTGTTGTACATGGTTTGGGATGTATCAAGGAGGTGGTTATAGTAATAACCCAGTATTGTAATCTTCTAACTGAGCTAATCAGGCAGGATTCAAATCGTAAACTGAGCAATAACAGAGTACCTTCAAAGATAAGGATTTGGTTGAGCTGGATGACAAAATCCAAATCTAAAAGAAACTAAGGGCTTCAACCTGAGAGCACACATTCTGACAATGCTACAGCAGTGGTAGTTCTGTTAGGCCATGTCACTACTCAGCAAGGTTTTCATAAGCAATGTCAATGGTTCTCAACCTGTACATTGGTAAGATGATATTGGTGACGTGGTAATGTTGTTAAAGTAAAAAAAAAAAAAGAAAACTTAAAAAAAAAAAACTAATAATACACCTTTGTGAGCATTCTCTTTATTTTTATTATCAATTTGTTTAAATAGTGAATAATTACAGCATAAAAAGGCCTGTAAAGAGAAAATAAAAATCATAATTTTGAAGCAAAACTGCACAACAAGGTTGAAAACCATTGAGCTCAGGAGGCACTATGGTCGCAGCAGCAGGGAGTGCAGGGAGGCAAAAAATAAGAAGACAAACCCTTGGCTGTGCGGCGCACAAACTGTGCAGCTTTCTGTTTACTGAATGAAGGCCAACTCCGACGGAAAGCGTTGCCAGAATGAGGAGAGGCGTCTGCTGAGCCATATTACAACATACAGTATACATACTGCACATTATTGCTGCATGCTTCTGACTCTTGTGTTAGGGAATGTGATTGTCAATACAGTGTCAGATTTTATTCGCTAAATGCGTTGCCACTATTGGCCATGAAGCCACCCCAGGCTCAAGCACTCACCCAGCACTGTGCCGATCTTATTGGTCAGGACAGAATCAGTGTGGTCCAGCCAGCCGCCTCCACACAAGCCCTCTTTAAAGCGGTTGAGGATGGACTGGTTGGAGAGCAGCACTACCAGGATCCACAGAGCTGCAGTGACCGTGCTCGAGTGAAGGTGTTCCTCCATGAACATCAAGAGCCAATCAAAGCCCAGCGTCCGCACCATCTCCTCACAGGCCCTGCAGGGGGAGACGGAGAGCACATGGAGTCAACAGATGGTCTACAGCCAGTGTTACTTCTAACATGCAGTCTAATTAATTATTATATTATATTATATTCATATTATACTAAGATTACTTTTAACGTTGTAAGTGAAAATGATGTAAGCATTCTAATTAATGGCTGCTTTGCTTTATTGGTAAAAATGTTTCTCAGATCCAGGATATTCACATTTGAACACTTTTGATATGGGAGGAGTCTTACTGGGCATTGACAGAACACTTCTCTTTGGTGGTGAAGAGCAGTCTGAGCAGGTTGTCCAGCAGTCGGTTTCTCAACAGAATGAGGTTGGCTGACAGTAGACCGCCGAAATCATCATCATTACCTGCAGACACAAAAAGGTTTTCATAAGCAAACAGTTAGAAATAATGTCATTCATTCCACTGGTCAAAACAGGCTGATACAATTAACTAAAAAAATATGTATCTATTTTAGATAGTTACCTCCATCAATCTTCTCCTCGTTATTGATTTCCATGATGACAAACTTCTCACACACTGCAAACGTGGGCAGAGTGGAGGAGATGAACTGGCCAAACCTATAAAAAACAAAAAGGACATTTTGTTTGAGTTTTTGCTTTCCATTCCCCAGTTTTTTGGAATATCTCACTCCTGCTTATAGAAAAAGTTTAGAACATGTGTTTACCGCAGCAGATCATATGGGTTGGGGAAGCCTTGCAGCAGCAGACTGAGCACGTTGCTGATGGCAGCTACAGTCGGCTGGGACAGTGAGGTGTCTCTCAGGGTCAGCAGCAGTCTGGGGATCAGCTGAAACTCTCTCAGCAGTTTGGCATTTTTAGCCGCCTCACTGTTAAATACAGAAAGTGGTACACACAGTTGGATGAGCTTCTTTACTGAAATGATGACATCAAAAAGGAAGAAATGGTGCCAAATAACGTCTTCAGTAAAATAATATTTATTATGATTCACTATTTAATCATATTATTCAGGCACATCACAAGGAAAAGAAAGTTCTGACACTTGCCTGGATTCTGTCAGCAGTTCGATGAAATGCTCAAACAGAGACAGATGGAGCTCGTAGGGAGCGTGGAGCCAGACCTGAGGAGCAGAAGGAGCAGACTGAGACCTCTGCGACACAAGTTGTGTTTGGCAAAGCAAACTTGCTGGCAAAAAGAGGTGGCATCTTGGCACAGAGAGGCCCAGTTTCTCAAAGGTATCAACAGCCAAGTAAGAAACTTTTTTTCTCATCTGGTCACAGCAGCCAATACAGACAAAATATACCCGCCAGGTAGGGCTATAAGTGGAACAAGATGCTCATGGCTGGTCAGCTGCCAAAATTGCAGACTAAGTTCTTTTAACTGCTGGACGGCAATAATGCTGTAGAATTTAATTACTTTTATTTTTTTTACCACTATGCCCTCCTAAGTGCTCACCTCAAAGTCACAGAGCAGGTCCTGGAAGGCGGTCGAGTTGGGAATGATGGAGGTCTCATGGCCACTGTCAACTGTTCCCACCAGAGAGAAGGTGAGGTGGAGGATGTGGCTGTTGAGCAACGAGCGCTTCTTCTTCAGCAGCATAGCTAACAGCTACGAGGGACGGACAACAGCAGACATATTTTAACAATCATACATCATTGCATTCAGGATTGCATCACATTTTTGTTTCGAACAAATTAAAATAATTAGGTTCCAAAAACTAAGAATTATTTGAAGGAAGGCTAGCGGCTGGCGGCTAAAGTAAAACCTTAGTGGATGTATAAAATCTCTGGAACTGTAAGTCTGTAACTTAATATAAAGTTGTGAAAATAAGAGGAGTGTCAAAAAAAAAAAACAATGCCAAATTTTTCTGACACAAACAAATGTTGTTTACCTGCTTTTTTCAGCCACAGGAAAAATCCAGAATATTAACACTTGTTATGTGACCAGTGTTCAACTGTATCTAACCTGGTAGCCTTTGATGCGCTCCATCTCCTTACTGGCCAACGGGTTGCTTTTTACAACACAGACCAAAGCTTTGACAGCTGCATACAGCCCCTCCACATCTGACGCCATGGCAACCAGGCCCAAGATGGCTGCCGCCCCACCCACATACTGCAGGTTGGTGGCCACAGGTTTGGCGACGAAGGCACGGACTCCTGAGGGGGTAAAAAGAGGGAAAGGTGCATTTTAATTTCAAAAAAAATCTGCAGAGTGAATATGATAAATTCAATTACATTCATCATGCTGAGCTCAAGAATAAAATGCTAATTTAGATATTTTGCTAGACAGTTTGATGAATATCACAAGATGAGGGCTCATAAAATATATTTTTCTATTTAAAAATGCAGTTCGGACTGTTTTGGTGACTCCTGTAAATGTTCCTTTTCTGCATCTTCTGTACCAAATCTCATGAGTCTCTGAGCATTGACAACAATACTGTATAAAACAGCATTTGTTGCTGATATTATGGGTTGTTTGTTTTGGTTTACCTAAGTATCCAATGACTCCGGCTCCAATGGTACGCGCTGGCCCGTTGAGGTGGCCGGCAGCGTTATGAATCAGCTTGACCGGAGTGGCATTTTCATGAGAGGACACAGTGAGCTAAAGACAGGGGGAAGAACTGGTTCAGTAAAAAATATCCCAAGCAAAAAGAACACACAGACTCACACTTTTTTTATGGCTTTATTAAGCCATTTCCCTCACACGTTCTCATTTGTCATATTTATCCCATATATTCTTTGCCTATAGATTTATTTTGTTTTGTGCAGGGTTTGAACACTGTTTGCTGTGGATGTGGCTGTTTGTGTTTGTCTGAACTTTCAACGACCTCTTTCTTTTCTTTTTTTAATAATACTGTATTTATCAAGCTCTATTTATTCATTTTAACATGATGGCCAATTAAGCAAGTGAAAAAGGATTAAAAAATTACTGTAACAACTGCCTTTATGTGGCATTTTTCTAGCTTTAATAAGAAAAAAATGTTCCAGTCTGAATTTGAATAATACAAAAACGCTAATATATTCTCTTAACTGCTGGTACAATAAACCACTCTCTTCCTATTCTACAACAGGTCCATACTGCAGCAGAAATGCTGCCTCTGCACTTCTTTTCTGTTCGCTTCCTGTGAGTCGTCGTGGGTCGAGGCTCAGCAGGGAAAGCAGAGCAGGCTAGGAAAGAACTTGACAGGTGGGGAGAGAGATAAGGATGGAGGAGGGAGCTCATTTGGAGCTTAAACACACTTTTGGTGGGATAAAAGGATGGTGTGTTACTCACTGTAAATTCATATATGTGTGTGTGAATGAACATCCATGCAAGTATACTGAATGCATATTTTTTGTAGAGAAGAGAATTTGACCTTTGCACGCCAGTATGCAAATGCATGTATGTCTGTATGTGTCGTGCTGTGTGGCTGGTGTGGTGCTGTGTGTGTGTGTGTGTGTGCTGTGTGGCTGGTGTCGTGTGTGTGTGTTTACATTTATAAATAGAGAGTGAGCAAAAGAAACCTCCACAGAATTCTTTATGTGCATCTTTATTTATTATTTAAGATAAAAATCTTTCTTCTCTGCAAACTTTGCAATTTTGCTAAAGGTCTGCACTGAAGACGTCACCGCACTGCACTGTGGCTGAGGAAAAGAGCTGTTTCCTTTTTTCACTCAGTTACATCAGTCTGACATGATGTAATGTAAGTCAGTGAGCCCAACACTCCGGCCTCCTCCGCTCAGTCTCTTCCAACTCACTCAGTAAGTTAATAAAAAGCACATCTGCTACAACAGTTGTGTCTCGATTGAAAATGACTTTGATGAAATTGGTTGATTCCTTTACTTTTATAGTATATCTGACAGTAAACCAGACAATGCTTTCAGCTCATTCATCTCAGTGTCATTTTTTCAGTCTCCATGCTTCCATTTAACAAAGTTGTCAAAGTCGTGAATTCTGAAATGCTACCGACAGTGGCTTTAATTAAACACAAAACTAGCATGGTGTCTAACCTGTTTGGCGATGGCTTTGCTGTCCAGTTTATTGTAGACTTTCCTGATCTTGGCAACGGTGAGTGTAGAGACAGAAAGGGCATAGAGACTGAAGGACACCTTCTCCTCTGGTACCAAAGCCACTGGAGAGGTAGGTGCTACCTCGGTCTTTGAGTCTTTACCTGGGACGATACAAAGTCAGACGAGGGAAACATAAGGATAAAAAAGGAATACAAATTTACAGAAATGCGTGAGGAAAGGGGATAAAATTACAAAAAGGAAGGTTAGTAAGTATAATATGTTATTAAGGATAGAAAAAAAGAGAAAAAAGAGAAGAAGATGGTAGAGTAAAAGAGTGACACTTAAAGATTAGATGATTTTTTGCACACCCCCCTGGAGCATTAAACCAGAAGGACCACTCACAGGGCAGGTAGACGGCCTGGAAGCTGCCCACATAGATGGGTCCCAGTTCATAGATGGCGGCAACGCTGGTGGCAGGCATGACTTCCTCCAGGAAGTGGCTAGGCCCCAGACGCCACACCAGGCTGGAGAGCTGGCGTTGGGCAGGCGGCGTCCCCACGTACCCGTACACGGTGCTCATCACAGGAGGGTTGGTGGAGCCCGAGCCGCCTGGTGCACTGTGGATGTAGTGGAGCTGGAGGAGAGGGAACACTTTGAGCCCCGGGAACTTGTAATGGCCATTTTTCACTATTTTCTGATAATTGCCAATTTCATAAGTTGAAAAATGATCTTAAGATTAATATACAGCCCTTTATGATACACAATAGTGGAACATTGATAGCTACGGGTGTACAGAGGGTTAAGATTCAAATGGTAGAGATAAATCAGGTAGAGGTAAATCAAAGGTCAGGACTCATGAGCTTTATGAAAGCTACTATTGTTCTTGCTAGTAGGTGGATTTTTGCTATCAAGAGCACCCAAGGGATCCTTAGAGACTTCATATTTAATACAGAAAATTTGTGCTTTACACCCACTGACAGGTGACATAAAAACCACAAGTACACCCTTACATGCACACAGACACATAAGATACATATGACCAGCTTGTTGTTTCCAGAGTGACGACCTCAGCAGGAAATGAAGCCGTCGTTATCAGGGGTGCTGAAAGGAAGCTGAGACTTGCGGTCTGCCGAGCCATTTCCCTGCTCTGCTCTCTTATCTCAGGGGGATCTAAAGTCACTAAACCGCAAGCCACATCACAGTCCGCTGACTGCTGCGCTTCTGGTTTAGAAATGTATTTCTGTGCTTCATCTTAATCAAAAGAAGAAGTCAGTGATCTGAACATTCTGAGCTAATTTAACTCCAGAGCAAATAACTGCTAATTCCATTACTTCCTTGGTTGCTGATTCTATTTTCTATAATATTAGCACTGTGCCTTAGAGTGACTTAAAATGAGTGCAATCTGTGGATGGGACGGCTCTCCACAACCAGTCACTCACAGCTCCTTTTGGTATATGCGGGGAAATAATGATGCACGATCACATCTACTCCACTACTGTCTACTGTGTAGCCATCAACGTTAAATGATAATGAGATAAGGAAATAATGCACATCAGCATATTCTGAACATATCCTCTTGGAAAGGGACTGTATATTTGTAATAGTGCCGAAACGAAAGGCTGAATAATCACTAAGCTGATTGACATAAAATAAAATACATTTAAAATACCAAACATTCTCTAGTTTCAGATTCTCAGATGTCTGATCTCTGTTTGAGACTTTGGGTTTCGGACTGTTAATCAGATACATTTGAAGACACCTCCTAAGGATTTAGTAATCTGTGATGAGTCTTTAATCTTTTTTTCAACATTTACATTGACTAAACAACAGTATAACCCATTTGCTTGAAGAATTATCAACAGACAAATCACATATGGAATCATTAGTTGCAGCCCTAATTTGGGAATCTATAATCTGCACAGAACTGTACATAGATTACTGATTTCAGTAATGATAATGTATAACAATGATTTTCACAGTAACACAATGTGTGTGTCAGTACTTCCATTAAAGGATAAGTCCAGCAAACCGCTGAGGAAGAATTTTCCTGAGATGCTGTTCATATATGATATAATTCAGTCTATAACTTTACCTTGACAGTGTTTATAAGCTGGCCATCGATGTACAGCGTAGCCATACTGTTCTTCAACATGCCTTTGCTCATGACCAGCACCAGGTGGTGCCACTGGCCCTCAGCGATCAGCTCGCCGCAGCGGAAACGAGCACAGCAGGGCAGGATCTCATAGAAGGAGGCTTCTTCACTCGACTCGTCCGCTGCTTGATAGGGGGAGGGAAGCGGGGGGGATATCGATGAGTCAGGGGGCTGGGGCAGACTTAAAAACATTCACTCTGGGTTACTGACTCAAATCCCACAAGGGACAGTTTTATAAGGTGTCATAAATGTGCAGACCTCCCTCACGTTACCACCCTCCCCTTTGTTGTTCTGTCTCTTGCTTTGCTCCAAACCCACCATTAACAGGGCAATACTTAAAAAACTTAGTATTGCCATTGCAATACAATAAATAAACAGTTTCTAAATTCAAATACACACTGAGATGATTAATTCCATCGTTAAGAACATGCATTATGTCATGTATCATGTCTACAATACGCACAGGACCAAGCCATTCAAAAACCATACTGTGTTTGTATGTCAAATTTCACAAACATACTAAATATCTCAATGGCTTAGAATATATGTTGATTTCACTCACAGCAAGGTCACCACCACACACAATAATAAATAAATGTCACTACTGGACTCACAGTAGGTCTGCAGCAGTTCTTCCTTGGTGGAGACAGTGAGCGAGCGATCTTTGGTGGACAGAACAACGGCCAGGCAGACATAGTGCTGCTCCGAGGACGTGGCCCGGCGGACGATGGTCAGCAGTCGCACCGGGTGGGCCTGAGGAGCTGTACTGAAACGCTCCACGCAGAACCAGGTGGAGTAGCTCAGGCCTGACGGAGGAGGGAACAAGCGCTCCCCTGGAAGAGAAAGAGGTGGAATTAAAAAAGATTACCTATTGGTGCAATTCTCTTATATATATTATAAAAAGTGCACACTAGTATGTTATTGCAACTGTGGAGACAACTACAGTGTGATCTGTTTATTCCAATTGTTTTCTACACAGCACAGATTTTGCTCTGAGATTTGCAAAACAACATGAACAGACCAAATTGAAGTGCTACCTTCCATAACATGCAAACCTTGATATTGTAACAATGAACAGGGTAAAATAGGACACACACCATGGTGTGTACAGCATTATGGGTTTCCACCGTAAAAAGCTTCTTTATTCCCGTTTTGTTGCAGAAACAAAGTGCGTAATGTGAATGTATTCATGCGTTACAGCTTAAACTTTATTTTAGTTTAGTTTTATATTACCACTCTCATTTTGTCTTAATGCTATTTATGATCTTGGAAGTATCAGTAAGCCCCTTGAGTCATCTTGTCTCACCTCTACAAATAAGTTTAATTTCATTCATAATGTTTGTAATTATTTTGCTTCAGCACTTTATCTCTGGAAAATAAATTACGTCAAGATTATTTATACAGAATAGCTTTTTGTTAGACACAACTACAGACCAAAACTCAGCCTTCATGGCAGATTTAGGCAGATAATATCTTGTGCTGCTATCAAATAAAGCAAAAATGATGGAGCCACATCAAAATAAGTGAGACTGTGTTGGACTGAGCTGCCAAATCTGAAGGCACCATGAGCCACACTGTCCTGCAGCTGAACTTACACTTCACAACGATGCACTTCACAGCTGTGCCTCGGGATCAGGCTGTCCCTCAACAGTTTATCAGACTGGACCAAACTAAAATTGGCCAGAAGACCATAATTCACTGTCTTCTGGCACACCACCACCTGCTCTGAGCATGGATTGATTTTTGTATTAGGCCTCACTGGAGGACAGATCCAACTACAAGCTACAGTAAATGCATCTCTTTGGTACCACTGCATTACATTGTTATTTGTGGAGTTGACTATGGACTCGTGGGACTCGGATGTGAAAATGCTGCAGTAGATGTGCTGCAGGAACAAAGATACTTTGGTTGGAGGAATTACATCTACTTCTTTCATCTATTTCTTATGTGTATCACTAGATGGTTTATACAACAGAGGTGCTATGAGTTACTGAGCAGACTGAGGATATTTTGATGAATGAGCTTCCTGATGATGTCATCCAAAGATGTGGGTCAGAGAGGAGCGGGATAGGAGAGGGAGGCGGGGAAGGAAGGAGGAGAGAAGGGAAGGGGATTGAGATAAATAAGGTAAAAAAGGAGGGGACCTAAAGTGACAATAGAGAGGGGTGGAGGGAAGGCAGAACGAGTAAGGGATGGAGGAAGAAAGAAAAAGAAGGACGGAAGATTGGAGACTGAGATGAGAGATAAAATGGACAGAGAAAAGGAACGCATAAGTGACAGTGAGAAATAAAGGAGGGAAAGAGCAAGGTCTATAAATAGTGTTGGGCTGAAGAAGACAAGAGACAGTGTGGGGTGAGTGGGTGCAGAGGGAGCGGATGAATAGGTAAACAGATGGAGAATAGTAATGTATGAGTGGATGTGGAGATGACGAGAGGAGAGGAGAGGAGAGGAGAGGAGAGGAGAGGAGAGGAGAAAGAAGAGTCTAGCTGTGCTTCATAAATACTAAATGAGGCTACCGACAAGAAAAATCAACCGTAACGTCATACATTAAATTTATCTCTGCCTTCAGGTCTACGAAAGCCTCTTCTGTAAAAATCTCTGCTGGTATGATTGTGTTTTTATGGTGCATTTAGTGACAAACAGATTTGTTTTTAACACACTATATAACCAGTTAGCAAACTAAAAGCTAAAGGCCGGCAGACAGACGAGGGTTGCAACTGCAGATAATCTTTGCACCGTGGAGGGGAGTGAAACATGGGCCGGCTGTCTGTTTGGGTTTTAGGTGTTGTAGCTTTTACTTGTGCACAAATGACGATAACATTTGAAAAAATAAAACACTTTTACACTACGTGCCAGATTCCCCTATTCACACACATTCATACAGTAATGGCAAAGGCCATCACAAACTCACTTTTCATACACGGCATCGGGAGCAATTTGGGGTTTAGTATTTTGCTCAAGGATACTTCGACATGCAGTGGGAGGAGCCGGGGATCAAATCAATCACCTTCTGATTAGTGGACGACCCGCTCTGCCTCCTGAGCCCCGGCCGCCCGCTGTTTTACTGTATCTTATTATGTGCAGCAGGGATAAATATGAACATTTTAATCGTCAGAATCTATTCCGACTGTTTCAAAAATGTCTAAAGATCTCAAAAATGTCCCTGATAATTTCTGAAACAATGATGGAACATGTTAATACCATAGGGGCACGAAAAAAAACCAAATGTATTTGTTTTGCCAACTAACAATTTGTTGTCTGCCAAACTAGCTGCTAAAGTAACAAAAATGTAGCAGAAATTGGCTGCTGGTTGGTGGTTAAATCCCACTCTGATATTAAAATACTTTGCGATGGTTATGCAATGTTCTTCCTTTTGAATTAAATGAAAAGCCAAATGAAATGTGCCAACAATCCAACCAGTCGCACTTCGAGACCCTGTCATTGCTAAAGACAACTGCTTTTGTTGAAACAACTGGCTCTCATTGTACCTGCCAGAAGAATGATGTATACCATGTGTCAAAACTGGTTATAGGTTGTTGATTTCCCTTAATGGATACTGGCAACAACTTATTACATCAATGATTCTGTACGGGCGAACATCATCCAGAAAGAAAAGGATCATTTGAAGAGCATTTTCTGGCATGGATTTTTATTTTGAAGGGCCCCTTAAGACTGCACAGGTGGTGTCTGCTCTCTTGGTCAGGTGACTTCCATTCCCCCAAAGAGGCAAAAAAACTAACTCTACAGTAAGTGTAAGCCAGCCAGGCTTGAATACATTTTTTCTTCTGTTTATTCTTTTTAAGATTCTTTGTTTTGTTTTTTTAATTAACTGGACTTTGTTTATTTTTAAATATGGGTGGCAAGTTAGCCAAAGTGTAGACCATGATATAAAGAATAGTTCATTTCATTGGAATCACCATAATCTGCGGAATGGCTCATGGGGGCGTAGCAAATCCACAAAAATGAACTCATAGTTTTATGTGGGGTTTAAATTTGGTTTCAACTTTGACACGCATTCACACAATTGCAAACCTTACACAGGGAAGTTAAGAAGAAGGAAGTATCATGTTTGCAATGTTAATAACATTTCATAAAAGCCTGCTTCACCAGAATATAAAGTGTTCATTAAGAGCCAAGGTTTGCAGACAGTTGTGAGACAGTACAATTATTTCTGCCCAGTTAACAATTGAACTAGCAAGCCAGCTACCATGTTTCCAGCTACCTTACATTACATTACATTTCTTGTCAGTTCAGCAACTAGCCAACAACTTCAACATAACCCAGTAGAATGAAAAACACTGAGAAAAGTCAAGCAGATTTTACCTGTACCCATCCCGCTCAGCACTGCTCCGTCGCTGACACCTGAGGCGTTGGTGTTGTTGGTGGGGGCGTTGTGGGGCGCCAGGCTGGGCAGAAACAGGCACCTGCACAGGGCAACAGAGGACAGATTAATGATTGTCATCTGTGGAAACAGCTGTAACAGATACAAAACATGTCGTCAGCTTATATAGGCTGTTATTGTAAAAGAGATTTACTGCAGGTCTGCCGAACTACTGCTACAGTCTGGCTCCATCCCTGGGATAAACCATTAGAAACACTCCTCTGAAGTTACAAAGAACAGTCTGGTAATTCAAGACAGGAGTTTTGTATTGTAATATGGAAATTTCAACTGCCTAACACTCAAGGATTAATTATGTATGAGACCAGGATAAAGGTGGGATGAAAGCACACATTCAGGCTGCTTTTTCAAATAGAATCTGCTCATACTCAGTTGCATCTCCTTGCATTTTATGTATTTGCTGATACTGATCATAATACAATAGCAGAAACTGCAACAAGGATGGCAACAACATAGAGATAGCAAATATTAAAAGGTATATAATTTATGATGACCTTTGTTTTGTTTGATAAAAAATGTAAGCCTGACATCTGTAAGCCCTGTCATCCAGTTTTTGAGGATTTCTACAGCGGACAAAGACTGACAATCATCCCACAAAAGTACAGAGAATTTCAATTGTGAGTTGGCGTTTTGTTCTGCTGACTCACTGCCTCTTGGTGAAAACGCTTTTTTCACAACTCTAATCATCCTGAACCAGCTCTGAAGATACTGGTGCTGCTCTGGGGATTTGGGATTTGTTTTGTTTTTTTCCCCCCATTGTTGAGAGACAAAATGTATGAAGGGACTGTGGCAAATTCAACCAGGAACCTGAAGGCCCGGACTGAAACACACTGGAGGTTAGCCTTAATGACTGACCACAGATCTAGTTATTGTGTTAACCGACAACATAGAATTAGCTATTATATGAGTGTCCTCTATAAATACCTCTCATATGTATGAGAATGCTACACACTAAAAACTATGTCTACCTCAAACCAACAAATTGCAATACCTTGCCTTCTAACTTCCATTATGTAAAATAGAGCAATTTCATTTTTCTTATGTAATTCTCTCCAAAAAACAAAACAAAACAGCAACAATAATTTATAATAATTCTTCACAATTCTTCAAGGGCTACTCCTGTAACCTAGCATCACATTGAGCGAAGGCAAAATACAACTCAGCTTCTGTCAAAACTAAGATCTGGAAATCATAAAAAAAGCACGTATAACTAGGGCTGAAACAACTACCCATGATGTTTCAAAAAAAGGTCACAAATATATAGTTTCAATTTTAAAGGTAATTTCCTAAAACAGCTGGGCATGAGTGCATTTATCAGTCAGCTTTGGACAGTAATGGAGCTCTATGGCACAGAGAAATAAGATATATCAGAATGACAATAACTGATGATTGATTCATTGTTATGGCTTTTTAAAGGTCCAGTGTGTAACATTTAGGAGGATCCATTGGCAGAAATGGAATATAATACACCTAAGTATCACCTGAAAATAAGAATCCTTATTTTAGTTACTTTAGAATGAGCTGGTTAAACTGCCATGTTTCTACAGTAGCCCAAAAAGACAAACCAAACACTGGCTTTAGATAGGGGCGCTACCATGGTTTCTCCTTCGCACTCGGAAGGGGAGGGTGAAGTGAGGGAGTTGTGATCTGCTGCTACACTGCTAGATGCCACTAAATCCTACACACTGGACCTTTAATGGGATTTGTTGAAAATAAGAAATATAAAGAATACTGCGAGCCTTATCCTCTAGGTTGTTTATCCATCAATCATTCCCTGCTTCTCTAACCTGAGAATTTGCTGCTTTTCTCTGTTGTATATCATTGTAAGTGGAAGATCTTTGGGTTTTGAGCAAATATTACATTAATCAATGATAAAAAAAATTTTTTATTAATTAATTAAAAAATAAAAAATGTAAGTTGCACCCCCACATATTATCCACTTGCTACAAGATCTTTTTATTAGCTCTCCATAAGAACTCTCCATTTTTATTTTTTTTGTGGCTTCCTCTTTTTGTTTCCCCACCTGACAGGAAGGTCGGAGGTCAGGGTTAGCTACGAAACAGCCTCCCTGACGCTGGCAGGAATTCAATGACATACTCAAGGACACTTCTTAAGGGCAGACACTCTGGTTCTCGGTTTAACAGTCTGTCTGTCTAACTAACAAGAACACCACCCTGCTGCTTTTCCCCCTTTAGTCACCACCTTGATTAGGTTAAACTAAAAAAAAAAACACTCCCGGGATTTCACAAGCTTGCCAAATGCAAATTTTTTTTTTTTCCAGTCAGAATGAAAGGCAGTTTTCTTAATTCTTCTTCTTCAAAAAAAAAAAAGAAAAAAAAAGAAACACCCACACATAGCATCTTTCTAGCCCCTTGTGAGATGGCTGGTTGGGTGAGTGTGCATCGGTGTGTCTGAGTGTGTGTAAGCATGTTGTGCATGATAGAGAGCGGATATATGCATGTATGTGTGATTCCTAATAGCAGCAGAGGCATCAATATTTCATGGTGACAGATGGGAGAGAAAGGAGGGTTAGTCTGTGTAGATATGTGTGTGTGTGTGTGTGTGTGTGTGTGTGTTCTCTGTTTATCCTGAGCAAAAAAAAGTGGGCCAGTGCCTCGCTGCATGTGTGTTTTCAGGAGAAACTCCATGTTCTATTCTGAGGTGGCTGCTGCGTCGAGTTTTAGTAGAAGAAACAGGAGAACTGAGACATTTTAGGGCAGGAAATATGATTACTGGGTGGGTGAGGGGTTTCTAAAAGTAGTAAGCCAAAGGCAACTGATCTTGACGTTTGGTCTTGAAGATTTAAAGTTTTGATCAATCAAAGATGCTTCATTAAGTCAACTAGTACTGATAAAATTCACACATGTCTGTTCTGTCTAGTATCTGAGTAGATAAACCTGTATACTCTGTGCGTATATTTATATTAGTAATAGAAGATGACAAAAATTAAAACATAAAAACCTAGACACCAATGTTGCCTTAACAGAACCTTAAATTTCACCATATGCTCGTGCACCCCACAATCAATAGATATTCACCACAGATTAAACCGCAGATTGCTTTATACTGAGAGTGAAAGCTCATTCTTGACCTTGGAATAATCTTAACCCAAGGTCCACTTACTAGCATTTTCTGGAGCTTTCAACTGCATCCCATGGTCTGAGATATACTGAGCAAACTCGGTCCGCTGATGAACACTGGTTGGTTGAAAGCTTCAGAAAAAGCAAGTAAATTGTATGGATTTATGATTCTGTGATGCATTAACTGTCCCACGTAGTGTATGTCTACAAGTTGAATGCACCGAACACTAAAGGAACAGAAAATATCCCAAATGATTAAGTCAGCGGCGTAACACATGCATCAAAACACCTGTGTGTGCGGCTGGATATACATTTTCTATCCAATTTAACACACCGGGGATGTGAAGACGCAGGATGATGCCTATTGCTGCATTAATATACGTCAGTGTTCCATTTCCCCAGAATATGCTCCAGAATAACAGCAATTTTATCGACTGCATTTGGCACATCCCGGCCACTGTACCTTGACATCATCCTGTCCGGAAGACAAATCTGGCACATGTGAAATGGGTGGCAAATCTGGTCTATTAAATGACACTATGCAGTGCAGTTGGTGTGTAGATGGCTCTTCAAATCGTATTTGATGAACAACACACAAAGAATTCAGGGCCACTGGAAATAACAATGAAACAAACTAAGTTCTCTTTGGAGAGTGAAGGTCTAACATTTCATTCAAATTCATAATCCATTCGTCTGCTGCCTTAGTCTACAACAGCATAATATACATAATGCTAATCAAACTGATGCTATCTACAAATGCAATGCTGGTCAGGTAATCACAGGAAATGACCTTTGGCATTTTGCTGCCAAACTGAAAGAAAATGTCTATAATGACCTTTAGCGAGACGTCTCCCTTTTACTTAAACCTGTATCCTCATGAATACTAATGAAGAACATAACATGTCATAGTCTTAAGTCCCTCTTAACAGTTGTTTACTGTGTGTCAGCGTAACATGTGGGCATGTGTCTCGTATGTGTTGCTAAAAGTGCGTGGGCGAATGGCCAAGGTCACATCCCACACGCCATCATTTCCACTGACCCCAACATTCACTGTGCCACTAACATACAACACAAAGCTCAGGGCGCAGCGGACCCTGTCAGCAACAGCACCCACGAAGCGCGGCAGAGGGTGTCGTATGTCATAAAAAGTGGAAAATAAGCCTATTTGTATGCGTGGCTCCACAGCTGGTGGTGAATAACGGTCTCCTACTGAGACAGTTGCAGGTGTGGCTGAAAGGTAAAAACACACAACCTGTTTAATTGCAAGGGAAAATAACATGTGGCACCCTGAGGTGTGTGTAACTGGTGAGGAAAATTGATCCACCAAGAGAAAGATTTAGAGGGAAGTGGTTTACAGAAGAGTGGCATCATGTGTGGCTGCAATAGCATTTTTAAAAGGCATGTAATGAAGAATGCTCCGTTCCTGGAGCTCTGAAGGAGACAATGAAGACAAAAATCACAACAAGGGGTAGTTTAAACCCTCTTGCATCCATTTATCATACATCCATTAGTATTACTGATTCTTTAAGTTTGTCAAATTCCCCTTTTCTTTTTTAACAATGGATCAAATTACTAGATGTAATTAATGGAAAATTAAAGGTGTTGCTCAGAATGACTGAGAATGACTACTCTGCTGTCTTCCCCAGCTTTATGAAGGGTTTTAGCTCATTGTTTCAGTTTTATAGCACAATTACTGTCTCAGTGCTCTCATCAACCCTGTTTCAAGCAGCATCAGCACCTTTTTCCAGCAAAAAATCCAATCGACACTACCTTCCAACACCATATGGCAGACAAAGTTAGCGCCTATCTGGTGAAGAGAGTGGAACATTGACCAGCTAAAGAGCCAGATATTTCTCTCAGGAACGGACCTAAAAAAACACCTAAAAAGGAGCGCAAATATCCGACTTAGATATCTCCAGTGGACAGAAACACAACTCCAAATGAATGCAAATGTTGCTCTGTATCTGGATGTGTAAATACCAAAATATTGCCCACATTAGCATACAACTAGAGTAATGTTTTTCAGCTTGTTGTGGAGTTGTTCTGTACCCAAGAGGAAGAAAAAAACAAAACAATGGAAGACCACATCTATAAAGACTCGAGCTCAGTTTCTAATGTTAATGCTGACTAACCCGAAGCCCTCCAGCGAGGTGTCAAACTCCACAAATGCAGGCGTGACGGCCGATCCGTGCAGGCGTATGTCGTGGGGCGTTGTCATGGACACCAGGCACTTGACTCGGGTGAGGGGCACGGTGCTGCCCTCGGCGGAACGCACAAGGCTGCGGCTGATACGATACTGGCCATTGTCCTCCGCTGGTGTGGCAAAGACGCTGTCAGGACCGAAGCCCTCCATGGACATGGTCATACTGTCTGTGAAGTCAGGAAGGAGAGGTTACATCCAGGAGGGTGACAATCCAACAACTAGGGTGGGAAATCTGTTTTAGGTACATCATATGAAAAGTAGATCAATTAAATGAATATAGATTATTTGTTACCGGTCACTCACGTCAAACCTTGTGGAAAACTAACTAGAAAACACTGGGTATGAATGTGTTAATTCAGCCCAGATGTTCATATTCCCAGAAGGATGAGAATAAATTCCTGGTTATGGTTCAATATTTCACCTTCTTCTAAGAACATTGATTGCTTTTCGTATTTGTTAAAAGTCAGCGCATCTGGCAGAGACAAATTAAATCAAAGCAGTTACAACAGCTCGCAATGGTGTCTAATAAACCATGCTAGATTATCGTCTCACAGACAGAGAAAGATAGCACAGTGTGTTCTAACAGTGGCTGCTTGTAAAGAGCAGTAATTAGTAGGGACTCCATTCTCAGCTGGGAGGAGAAACAATAAGCAATTAGGACATGCTGAGGAGCCCACAAAATTACAAACATTAACAGCTGTTAATAGAAAACAAACCATTTGCATTAGATTCACAGTAGCAGACTGATCTTTGTTTAAACAGGGAGTTTACACATCGACTGGATATTAATCAAAGGCCAAGAGGAGTAATTTGGGTTTTCCTACAACTTGCTGCTTTGCTCAACAGTTACTGCAGCTCTATCTATTTGCAGTGCGACTCATATGCACCTGTATTTTGACCTAAATGTTTGTATACATTCAAGGCAGAGAGTGTATCATATTTAACAGTGATACATGCTTACTAGTCTTCCTGCCAACTCTGGTGAGGGAGTTGAAGTACATGCTAAAGCCAGGCTGTTCCACTGACTTTGCAATCATCCGAACCATTCTCAAAATCCATAGAATTGCCCCCCGCCCACCCCCTTTTCCACAGCCGAGCCGGTGCTAGTAATTTCCAATAGCAATTAAATGGCAATGGAAAGCTCATCCTTTGCAATCACAGCCTATTCACCGGAGGATTCGTCCCGATGAGCTCGCAGAGAGAGTGAGCAAAGAGAGTGAGCAGGATTGCTAGAAGATTGAAGGCCTTTTTTCAAGCTTTTAGTACAGAACACAACTTTCTCCCAGGAGGAAGCTGGCATCACTCTGGCAGATGGGAATGGTTCCCAAATGACATTATCATTTTATAACCGTACTGGAGGACTGCTATAGACTTCAATTCTCAGCTGTTAAAAAGTGATAGTTTCACTTGTAAAGAGGCATTTTTGCCCACAAATTCAAACCCCAATGTTTTAGAAATACATTGTCAACAACATCTCTCTCCCCCTTTCCCTCATCTATGTGTTTGTATAGAATTTACTCTGCTTTTTTATTCACGAGAAAATGCATTAAAGCAGTTGTTGGGAACTGAAATTTGCATTGCAAATGTGCACCATTTTGACCTGAAAAACTGACTTTGCTGTTGTTGTTATTTTTTACTGCTTATAACCAATAAAAATATTCAACTTTTACTCCCAATAGTTTTGAAGGCTGTACTGCGGCTACAATCCATATAAATCTGACTAGCTACAGTCCAAGATGAAATTAATTCTAGCTCATCATTCAGTGGTAAATAAAGGCCGTGAAGGAACGTCAGCCATTGTTCTGTTTTTAAACAGATCTGGTAAAGAACACCAGCATGTCCTCTGAGACCCCTGCCGCAGTGACTATCTTGTGGTCAGAACTAGTGTGAGAGTTGTTATTGTCTTACTTCTCATCTCGGCGTCGTAGCTGAGAGAACTCGGTTTATGAACCCGGTACTGCTTCAGTAGCTTCTTGTCCCAGGCACCACAGTTCAGAGGGTTTCCAAGGCGTAAGAACTCCCTGGAGGAGAAGATGACCAGGATGTCAAGAATAAAAATATACCATCAAAGTCAAAAAATACAGAGGCCAAATTAAATGGCAATACAATATTTACTGTTACTTATGGTTATTATTGCTGTTGAACTTTGCCTAGTTATTGCACCAGCTTTTATTTGAGTATAATTCACCATATTTACATATATACATACACAAGATTTAGAACAATATACCAGCAAATAACTATTTGTTAACTATTTTGTTATATGTTAAGATATAGTGGCATAATGGCACCCTGAGCATACGTCACACTCCCTTTCCCTCGGTTGCTATCACAGTCTGTTGCTTTTTTACCATTCCGGTATGGCCGTGCATGCGTATGAGTCCCTATGAATAGTTTGATGAATAGTTTTGTCGATTGAGTCTGGTTGGCCGTGGCCCACTGTTTTGGTCTAAGGAGCTGGTGCTCTAGTGGGACATCTAGCGTCAAGTTCATTTTGTATATATATTTTTAGATCAGCCCTTATTTACTACATTAATGAGTTGTTAAACTCAAAAACAGCAACTTGACACCCATCTGTATCAAAATCCAGAAAGATCCAAGAGCAGAATCATGAGGGGAAATGACAGAGACTGACAGCGCAAAAAAGAGAGGCAGGAAGAAAGAGAGGAAAGAGAGGAGAGGAGAGTGGGGAAGAGATTGACAGCTACAGATATGTTTACCTCCAGCACAATTACGGGGGTAGAGAATAGCAGCCAGAGAGGCCACATTTACATATAAAAAGAACCATCCATGTGTATGTCACATAACTTTCCCCCCTGTTCCTCACCCCCAACCTCTCATCTCAGTTAACTAGCCAAGCAGGAAATGAGAATCGCTCAGTTTTGTCTGCATACATAGCCCTCCTTCACACACTGAAACCTGTCAAAGCTGATTATGCTTCCCAAATGTCATTTTCAGTCACTGGAGGATCTCACTTCTATGTTTAGCTCAATAGATAACACTAAAAGTTAGCTTGAACAAGAACAGTAGCATATTATTGTGGCGATACCCCAGTTTGTGTGTGGCCATATAAATAAAATAAAGTTTACTTAAATTCTCTCAAAAACTCATTGTGTGTATTCTTCAAAATGTGCTGACTGACTATGTTCCGCATGAAGCCTTTGTAAATCTGACTTTTGGAAAAAGAAATTGAATCAAAAAAAACGAAAAAAACTTTATAGCGCTGCAAGTGGTCGATAACTCCGCAGGATATGACAAGCTGAGACGTACCAAAGTTGCCACTGTACAAATGATAAGGAAAGTAATTACATTGTTTTTCGTCTGGCATTACTCTCTATTTATCACTTTTCATCCACGCAAGACTGATAGTTGCTAAAAGGGTGGTAAAACACTGGAGTTGGGATGGTACTTTTATAGTACTGTTAGTTTAGGTCTTCGAGTACAGTACCTGAGTGCCATCGGCTGCAGGGCCTGCGAAGCCAGCCTCTCAAACATCCTCTGCAGTGGGGGGTGCAGCGGATGGTCTTCATCGCCCAGGGCCTGACTGCAGCGCTGCAACAACCGCTGGTGGAGGCAAGCTTCACACAGCACCTGCTGGTTCCTCTCACTGTTCACCAGGAGCTGGAGGATGTTGGCCACTGCCAGCTGCAGGTCCAGGGCATGCTGGAGGGACAACAGGAGGAGGAGCAGGTGCATTGTAGTTTTCACTATTATATTTGATTTACAGGATTGTTGTGTCAGTACGTTGAAGTTACCTTGATTTTTCAGGCATCTAATTTACTTGACTTGCAAAGAAATCTGCCATGCTCAACAAACAATTTCTCATTTCACTCTCCATAAAATGTACTAAATAATTATTTTTGTTTCAAGATACATGTCTGGTTGGCTCTGACATGTAAAAACCACCCTTCACCCACTTTAACAGGAAGTGCATGTGAGCACATTTCCTTTTTGTATTCCCTCACCTCTGGCTGGCTGTCAGAGGTGATGGATGGCAGCAGGTCCAGCATGGCCAGGACGGCCCCCGGGTGGATGACCACCATGTCGGATGAAGACGAGGAGGAAGTGGGGTGGGAAGGGTTGGCTAAGTGGAGTTTCAGGTCTGTCAGGGCTTTGACCGGGGCGGGAGGGCCTGACGTGCCGTAGTAGCCATGTCTGGGAGCACAGGGAGAGAGGAAGTCACATTTAGTCCAGTTGCGTCAAGTTGCTGCTGATACCTGTTAATATGGTTATGAGAATATGAGGATTTTCTGACAACCGGAAATCATCCTATTTTTTTGTGTATTGTGTGATAGTGTGATCTTGACACCTACCCTTGCCACTTTCAGAGCCTTGGAGGCACTAATCTATTGTAAAATATGTTACATGTTACATATGAATAGGGAAATGGCTGCTAAATACTCAGATTTACTTACAATGTCTTCCAGAAGAGAACTTTCTTTTAATGAGGACCGAAATAATAACATCTCTGAATTTAAGCACTGCGCTTAATGCCAACTTTATTTAACAGGAGTCAGCCGTCCTCGCACTTCAGAGGTCAAGGTGTCAGTCAGGTGCTGTTTCATTCAAAGCACCGAACCCTCCTCATGTGCAAATAGCACAGAGCAGGAGATCTGCTGGGGCCCGCAGTCGGGCAATTAGACAAAATAGGCACGTTGCTGCGATGCAAATTACAGAGTGGCAAATCCCCCCTCAGGAGAGATGCCAACAGGAAAAGGCTGGAGTCAGCATAAAGTGCTGGAGGGGTTGGATGTGGAGCAGGAAACTTAACTGGGTTGTTCATGTTCACAGTGGCTGGAAGCCACTTTATGTGTTTTTAGTATAGCCGCACTTCTGAATTATTGTCTGCTACGTTTCAAGACAAGAAAGGACAAAGTCACTAGCCACACATAAAGTTGACTTGAGTTTGGCTTGTGATAGGCCACATAATGAATAAAATCAGAACACTGGTTTATACTCCCAGGGAATTTTACAATATGAGCACTGATATATGTAAATTAAACAATTTAAGATGTCATTGCCAATTAAATTTCACAAGTAGCTATATAAATGAAGAATTCAATAGTTATTTCCTGTTTTCTGGGGTGCTGTTTTACTAGCATTCGAAACTTGTTTGAACTTTTTTAGTCTCTGTACCAGCTGTTTTGAGTATACTATTTTATCACTTTTTAGTAGTATTGTGTATTCGGAACGCAGCTTACACTTGAACTTAGCCGGCTGAATTTAAAAACTGTCTTTCCTCTGCTTTTTGGCCTCCTTTCAACACTAATCCAGTGTTTTTCGATTTAGCCAACTCAGTGTGGACAGTGGAAACATTCTAACATGCAACACAAAGAGAGGTTGGGTTTCAAAACCATTTGTTTGATCTAGTTCAAGCTCTTGCTGTGTCACAAACTTGATAATCACAACACTAATTGCTGCCATTTTCTGCAAGGCAAAGTTCATTGCATAGGATGTTTTGAAGCTCCTGAGTCTTTTTGGGAGAGAAAATAAATAACAGGAGATGTTTTTATTTGTATCAAACTAAGCTAATCCTAAGCAATTAGCATCTCCATGTCATCACATTTGACATTTGGATTCGGAAATAATTTTGAGAACAGAAAACTGGTTTACAATCCACATGAAATCCCATTACAATCAAATAACCTTTTAACTTTAACCTTTTGTTGAATAATGTTTTTGGTTTTTTTTAATGAACAAAGAAGAGCTTTTAGTGAAGTACGCAAACAAGGACAAGGACCCCATCCTTACTAATTGTCAAATTAGTCCTCCTCATGAATATGCAGCTTTGGAGCTGAGCCAGGCAAACAGACGGGGGAGACTACTGAGAAGAGACCCCCAGTTTCACCTTGACAGTTATTATAGCTCACTAAGCAGGGTATATTTAAGATGTCCCAACCATTATTCCTGTTGTAAATGAATTCAAAGAGCAGCAGAGTCTGGGTTTTTTTGTGCGAGTCAGGGTGGGGGGCAGCTGAGAGAAAAGAGAAGAAAAGGAGGGGGAGGAGCCTGAGAGTGAGGAGGAATGCGATGAGAAAAAGAAAAATGCCTACTTAAGACCGACACTAATCTGGCCGAGTCTGTACCTTTTTCCCTGCTCGGTGGTGACAGGAGAAATACACTTCACAAGTAATTTAATTCAGTTTTTGTTCACAGAGCACTGATTTCCAAGTGATTTTCCACTGCTCCAACCGTTCTGACGGTCCAATTTTTCCAGAGGAAGATGTGTAACATGAGGAGTCATCGCTCCCCAATAAGGTTTTCAGCCCATGTCGGCAGTTGTGCTTGAAGTACAGCTGCTGATTCATTTTTTTTGTAAATCATCAAATGAGTACATGTTTCAGTTCTTTTGTTGTAACTTGAATCTTTGGGGGTTTGTCTGGCAAAAAAAAAAAGCTATTTGAAGATGCCAGCTTGAGCTCTGCCTCCGAAACAGTCATGTTTTTTCAGTCTTTTTTCATATTTTATTGCCGTTACATACTCAATAATAATTAAAATATTAGAAAATATAATCGACATATTATTAGATAATGAAAATATTGTAAATATAATTATAATAAAAGTGTCAGTTGGGCCCCCGCCTTCAAAGTACCAACGGTTGTCTAAAGAAACCTCAAATTTAAGGTTTTATTAGCTGACCAAATAAAAACTTGCCCAAATGGGAATACTTCTCACATTCTATTTTTCTCATCTCTGTGATTGAACAGATGGTAAGCACCACGACTAGCTAAAAGATTCACCTGACAGAAGGGTTCATGATCATTTTGCCACTAGTGTCAAGTGAAGGTGAGGAAAATGGAGAGGAAAGGATGAGGAAAGTGGCAGAGCGCTGTAGCTACCTCTTCCTGGCGAGTGCTGGCGTGCCCCACGGCGAGGGCAGCGAGGTCTCATGAGTCAGGCAGGGAGGCACCTGCTCCGCACGACTGCATGGCAGCGCACACACACACACACA